CTATTGAAGAATTAGTTTGGCAAGGGCAAGATTAGGAAAGGAACAGGATTCACCGAGGAGTACATTCTTTATGGTAACAGTTCACTCTTCCTGCAACACCTGCTTCTTTAAGTCTGTCCAGCAAGCTTCCTCCCCAGAGCTCAGGCCCTCCTTCTGTGGTATCTGCCTGCTCCCACACCGAGTGGCTACAACTAGGAGCCTGTTCTGTGTTCTCGTCCTGTTCTGTGTTCTGCCTGTTCTCTCGCAACTCCTGTTGCGAGACACATCTCAGCTCAGCACTTCCCCCCAACATCTCTCAGGGCTCAGGTATCCAGTGAATAATCTTGGTCCAGGGGATGCATACTTCCACCAGAAACTGGAGTGGCAGGCCAGTACACATTTGCTGCTCAAAGTGTGGTTAACAGACAGCAACACCAGCATCTGAGTGATTAAAAGTGCAGATTCTAACCCCAGACCGACTGCATGAGACTCCCTCCATTGTAATAGGATTTCCCATTGAAGTATGCACTTTGCGTGTGAGAAATGGTGGTGGATAGCAGTGCCACGTGAATGCTGAGGGAGAGCTCCCCATCTCATTCAGATTGTTCCTTACCATCGGGCAGGGACTCAGCTGCTTCATGTCTTACCTGCTCCTTCAGTCTGTGCCAAGCACAGCAGGTGCAAGACAAGTGCTAGAGTGAATCCAAACTCTGGTCACCCTAAAGCAGTTCCAGTGAGGGGAACTGGAAGGGCTTTCATCCACTGGCCTTTTTATCTAACAGCCATCAGAAGAGTGAGTGGCAACCACAGTCATACAGAAAATTCAGTGAGAACCAAGATCACAATAAAAAGCATATAATAAAAAGCATGTGGTGTTTTGCCTCTGACTCTATGTACTTGGCACAGGGAAGGGAAGTTTCCGTGAACACGGCCACAGGGCTCTGCTCATCTGGCTGCATGGGACCCTGATGACATAGGCCACTCCGGTCAAGCATCTGTATGAAGAGCTGATACGCGCAGGTTTCCCAGAACTAGCTGGTGAGTTAGTTTTCAAGACAGAAGCTCCTCCTCCCTTCAAATGGTGGGGGACAGCCAGCAGAAACAATACTGTCCGTTAACAGTGGCAGTCCCAATCTGATGAGAGCAGTGGCTTGTAAAAAATCCGCAGCTCCTCTGGTGAGTGACTGTCAGTACTGAGCCCACCTTAGCCTGGTTCTCAGCATGACCCCCCTGCTGGGCATTTGAAAAAGTGGGGGAGGATTTCTGTTGATGTGAATGTGTGGCAGGGTGTGGAAGTGTGTGTGGCGTGTGGGGAGCAGGAGAGGGCAGGAACGCTACGCCATCTCATAAAGTTAAAGGAGAGTTTCAAAACTGATTGATAAATTAGGGGGTGTTAAAACTCTCATGTAATAATAACCATTCAAGCAAAATATAGGCACATCTGCCATTATTTTCACTGATGCAGTTTTACCTGAAGCTAAGCTTAAAATGTCTGAATCATACCACTGAGCCAATACTCCATTTCAAGAGATCGTGCATGGATGACAGCTCCTCCTGTGACATTATCTTCATAGCACTGGGATTGTTCCATCTACTTTAAATTTCTGTTTCTATAAGAGTATCTGTAAGAACTCCCAGGGGAGAGTAAGAGGCACTCCCCTGAAGTGGTGCAGGGATGTGCTCAGGAGCAAGACTGTGTGGGTCCGTACTTGACCTCCAGCACTGACAGCATGTGATCTTGAGCAAGTTCTACACCCTCATGGTGGCAGTTTCCTCCTTTACTAACTAGAAAATTGCCTGTGTCAAAGAGTTGTTGGGGGATTAAGTGAGTCATAGGGCCTGGCACATAGTAAGTACTTAATAAATGTTAGCTTTAATAATAAATGTTATCTTATTTTTTCCAGAAAAGATCCGTCAACAAAAAAACGAAACAGACTCAAGGTCCAAGAAATGTGCAGTTTCATAGATGCCTAAAGGAATTGTATTTAATTGATTTTCCACTCAGCATTTTCCTTTAAATTCAGTCCTCTAATGCCATAAAATTCTAGCAGTAGTATTGATTTTCAACTATGACGATGGTGGTGACAGGAAGCTCTACCAGATGAAAAAATGGTATTAGTACTTTCCAACTACAGATATGAAAGGTCAGAAATTCTTTTCAATTTTTACTTAAAGCAAATTGTGTATGATTTTTGCCTGTCATTTGATGCAATATATGTCTAGGTTTTGCACATCCTTTTTTTTTTTTTTTTAATGTTGGTAGGAGCAGCATCCCGGTATATGAAAAATCCAAGAGATTTAGAATAGACAGACATATTTTTTTTCTTTTTTTCTCTTTTTTTGGACAGACATGGTTTTAATCATGGTTTGCCCCTTTTATTAAAAAATTTTTTTTATAAACACAGAATGTATTATTAGCCCCAGGGGTACAGGTCTGTGAATCGCCAGGTTTACACACTTCACAGCACTCACCATAGCACATACCCTCCCCAATGTCCAGAACCCCACCATCCTCTCCCGACCCCCCTCCCCCCAGCAACCCTCAGTTTGTTTTGTGACATTAAGAGTCTCTTATGGTTTGTCTCCCTCCTGATCCCATCTTGTTTCACTTATTCTTTTCCTATACCCCAAACCCCCCACGTTGCATCTCCACTTCCTCATATCAGGGAGATCATAGGATAGTTGTCTTTCTCCGATTGACTTATTTTGCTAAGCATAATACCCTCTAGTTCCATCCACGTCGTTGCAAATGGCAAGATTTCATTTCTTTTGATGGCTGCATGGTATTCCATTGTGTATATATACCACATCTTCTTAATCCATTCGTCTGTTGATGGACATCTAGGTTCTTTCCATAGTTTGGCTATTGTAGACATTGCTGCTATAAACATTCGGGTGCATGTGCCCCTTCGGATCACTACGTTTGTATCTTTAGGGTAAATATCCAGCAGTGCAATTGCTGGGTCATAGGGTAGTTCTATTTTCAACATTTTGAGGAACCTCCATGCTGTTTTCCAGAGTGGTTGCACCAGCTTGCATTCCCACCAACAGTGTAGGAGGGTTCCCCTTTCTCTGCATCCTCGCCAGCATCTGTCATTTCCTGACTTGTTAATTTTAGCCATTCTGATGTGAGGTGGTATCTCATTGTGGTTTTGATTTGTACTTCCCTGATGCTGAGGGATGTGGAACATTTTTTCATGTGTCTGTTGGCCATCTGGATGTCTTCTTTGCAGAAATGTCTGTTCATGTCCTCTGCCCATTTCCTGATTGGATTATTTGTTCTTTGGGTGTTAAGCTCTTCATAGATTTTGGGTGTTAAGCTCTTTATAGATTTGGATACTAGCCCTTTGTCTGATATGTTATTTGCAAATATCTTCTCCCATTCTGTCAGTTGTCTTTTGGTTTTGTTAACTGTTTTCCTTTGCTGTGCAAAAGCTTTTGATCTTGATGAAATCCCAGTAGTTCATTTTTGCCCTTGCTTCCCTTGCACGGTTTGCCACTTATTAACTGTGATTCAAGTTCTCAGATCTTCAGTTCCTTCTTTATAAAATGGGGTAGTGTCTCACGCTTCCACAGCATTGAAGATCAAGGTTGAATGCCAGAGAAATGCCTAATCTCATGCCCACCATATTGAAATCATCCACTGTTATTTCTCCTCACTGAGAAAAACTAGTTTTGGAAATTTACAGTTACTGTTGGCTTTAAATTACACATATGTGTAGTATATTGCTTAGAAAAGACCAGTAGTGTATACACCAATGTTTGCTGTTGTTTTTTTAAATCTCTTGGTGATGTAATCACAGGTGATTTTCATTTACTTTGTACTTTTTGGTACTTTCCAGGTTTTTTTTTTTTTTTTTGACAGTCAGCATTTAGTATTTTTATAATCTGAGAAAGTTATGAAATAAATATGAAACCAGATATCAAGTTATATCAGTTTATCTGCACCTATTCATTATAATTTAAGGCTCTCCATTTTCAAATTCTGATCTTAATTCTATAAGGCCAGAGATAAAATCCTGAGCAATATCAGTACAGTTATTCTATCATGAATTTATGATTTTACATCTTTGTCTCATGCTGATTGTAAATGTCTCACTTACTTTTATGAATGTTTAAAATAGGTAATATATCCACATGAGTCCAAAAAGTTTTTAAGAAAGGTATTCAGTGAAAAGTCTTGTCCTCATTTGTTCTTCAGTATGGATGGTTTCCACTGACCATGCTACTTGCTCCCTCTTTCAAAATCTGGGTAACCTCTTTATGCAAAAGTAAACAAATAGAATACATACTCTTACTGTGTAAGTGTTTTAGTTGTGGAATTTAACTTAGGCTAGCACTAATTATTTGCTTCCACCTTGGACAATATACAATCTTTAGAGCTTAAAGCTTAAAAATATGGTTATGATATATGTAAATATATTTTTAAAGATTTTATTTGACAGATGGAGATCACAGAGAAGCAGGCAGAGAGAGAGGAGGAAGCAGGCTCCCTGCTGAGCAGAGAGCCCGACGCGGGGCTCGATCCCAGGATCCCGAGATCATGACCTGAGCTGAAGGCAGAGGCTTTAACCCACTGAGCCACCCAGGCGCCCCTGGTTATGATATTCTTAATTACAATATTCATAATATTCCTTTTAGTTTGTCCATATGGTTATGGCTTGGATATTAAAAACCATACCTAGTTGTCATCTAGGTTCCTCAAAAGGCACAGCCTGAGACTAAAGTCCATGAGTACTGTTTTTTAGGAGTGCAAATCCAAGGAAGCAAGACAGAAAAAGGGAGGGCGATGGGGAAGGTGGGTGAAATACCAAATTGGCTACCACTTGGTATGAAGCGTAACTGATCATCTGATTTCCAGGGTACTTTCTTCTGAGAGAAGGGATGGACTAGTATACCTTGGGCCGATTCATACAGTGGAGAAAGGAAGAACTGATCTGTTACCACAATGGGGTGTTAACTCTGGGCTGCATGAGTAGGCTCCAAGTGGAGCCTGTGGTCGGTTGTGCTTCTCTCGGAGTGCATGGTGAAGTCCTAGAGAAGAGCATGGCCGAGGTACGGGTAGCACAAGAGGCACTGTTGGTTTGTGTTTGTTGTAACTCCTGATGCGCTGTCTGCCACAGTGGTAGCTGGACCAGAATTCACAACAGTGCTGCAAAAGAAGGATCTAATACTCTAACACACAATACTCTAATTCTTTTATTCTTTAATTCAGAAAAGCCTTGGTGTGCCCTTTAGGAAAAAGGATATTTGCCTATCTCACATTTATTCTCATGTTCTATTACAAGGTGAGACAGTAAGAAAAACTATTTCCTATAATAAAGTTAGAGCACAGAGCTAGATCACATTCAAAGTGAAACAGGCTTCTAATTAAGTCCATCCAATTCTGTGAAAGATATGAAAATTGAGGCTATGGAAAGATTCTTTAGAATTGACTTGTTTTTATGTAAGCCAGAGTACTTTATGAAATAGGAGGGGTAGGTAGATCTGTTTCACAAGTGGTATCCTATGATTTATGACATTAAATGTCTGGCCCAAGATAACCCAGTCAGCCAGCAATAAAACCATTAGAAGCCTGGTCTTGCTTTCCTCAATCACTTTTACCCAGATGGTTTCTTCCACTGAAAAGTCTCTGCCCAGGCCTAGAAGGTTTGCTGAATTGCCCAGTGCTATACCCACTCCCATACGGCGATGTTTAGATGTGCAGAGAGAAAAAAGGCTCAACACCATACAGTTTCAGAAAGGCAAGAAAGAACATCAGAAATAGGATCATTCTAAGAGGAAATTTTTTTGATGTTTCTGTGTCTCTCTTTTTGTCCAGCAAAAAAATCTTTCCCTTTTAACATTAAAATTATTCATAGATCTTACCGATTCCCATTTTTAATTGTAATAATCTTAGGAAAATGAAGACTAATATACCAACATCACAGTAACTTTGTATTAAAGTATCATTATTACTTTTTAATTTTAAAATAAAAATACCTTAATTCTATTTTAATATTTTTAGTAAAGTTCTCAGAGTTGACTTGGTAACACTGGAAATGATTGACCCTTTTGGAAATAATGTTGAGAAACAGGATTTATATACTTTGATGATGTAATCAGTGACCGGCTGAACCTATTAAAAAATTAAGTCATTTTTTAATTTAAAAAAGTTTTACTTAATCATTTAAATTAAAAAAAATAACATTAAAATAATCCTACATATAGTTACAAAGGATGGTATGGCTTGAAAAAGTCTCTTGTAATTTTGAAAAGATGAACATGATGTATCCATGATGTTTTAAGAATATGAAATTTTAAAAATGAGAGACTTCTAATCCTTGGTAAAACCAGAAGAATTAAAAGATCTCAATATGTGCATATTCATTTTAGTCAACCACTTTTATGGAATGGATGCTTGTGAGAGACTGGGTGTGAGTTGACCTGGTTCCGAGGGATCTAGAAGCTGAGGTACTACTTTCAGGATGAATTGTCCGGGGATACTTTGCTGCAGCAGCTTGAGGAATGGTTTGCTGAAAAGGTAAAAATCTGCTTTAACAATCCCATAAAATTATACATATTAAATATCATTTCATTATATATAATTTAACCAAACAAACATTTGTTAAGCATCCAGTAGATACATGCAGTTAAGTTGGTAAAGCAGTCATTGAAACAAATAAGATATAGCTCTTAGGGGCACCTGGATGGCTCAGTTGTTAGGTATCTGCCTTTGGCTCGGGTCATGATCCTACGGTCCTGGGATCGGGCCCCGCATCGGGCTCCCTGCTCAGTGGGGAGCCTGGTTCTCTCTCTCCCACCCCCTCTGCTTGTGTTCCCTCTCTCGCTGTGTCTCTGTCAAATAAATAAAATGTTAAAAAAAAAAAAAAAAAGAAGATGTGGCTCTTAATCCATATGTTAGATTGATGTGCTCAATACCCACAATTCAGTATCAGAGCCATATTCCAGAGGATCACAAAAAGAGCCACGGGAGTCATTCTTCAAAGAAGGCTCAAGTGGAATCTTATAATGTTTATAGAGACCAACTACAGAAAGGGACTTTATAGTGTTTGGAAGACACCATCCCTCTATTCTAATCAATTTTCTCCTGTTTCTGTTAACATATGGAGTTCAATCTCCGGGATCATGGGGAAAGCTCTGAGGAATCCTGCCTGGTCCTTGTTTCAAACCAGAGTAAAGCACATCTTTTATATATCACCCTGGTTCACCTGGGAGCTGACTAAACCTTTTCCTATCATACAAGAGGAGATATTTCCAGAAGCCTGGTGCTCCTTAGTGTGGATTACAACTTTCTATACAAATAACTAGACATTGAGGAAATACGCTGAGAGGAGGATACCCACACCATATCAGAGCTCAGGGGAACATCTTGGACTCAAGCACCGAAGCATTAGAGTCAGTACACAGTCGACTTCACTTTGTCTATACAAGTACGTATTACATGCATTCATATGTATAAAATGTACAAGTTTAAGGATTTCCTCTATTATACTGGATACAGCTTCTGAGTAGGCAACAGTGGGACCTGTTATCCAATTCTCAGTCCACGTCACTGAGCAGTACATGTACATTCGTAGTACAGTCTTCCCCTTAGAAAAGTCATCCTTAAAATATCTGAAGCAAGATTATATGTACTTGATCAAAATATTCACTATGTATTTTAAAAACCCTTTACTTAAAAAACTTACTACAAGGTCTTCATGACAGGTGCTGCTTTAAGAGTTCCTCTTTAAGGAAATGGAAAAATGATTTCCTGTTTTAAGAGGTATTTTATATAAATGTTTCATTGTACATAAATAACTGGATAACCATTACAGATGGGGGAGATTCTTCCGGTTTCCATAACTAGTATGAAAATTTAGTTGCTAACCACCTAATCCGACCCCATTAAAAGAGCTATTTCTCCTTGGGAAGGATGGGCAAGAGGAAATGTAGAAACAGATTCACCTTACCAGTGGCTGGTTTCATGATCTACAAACATAGGGCAGAGAATCAAGTAGCATTAGGGACAAGCAATTAGCCAGCAGATGGGGCTAAAGTGTCAGAAATCTGACTACTGGTTTATTAGTAATAATTGTTTTTGGTAGTTACAGGTCTTGATTTTGGGGATAAAATGAAAAATAGTACAGAGGACTGCCATAGTGTCCGTTAAAACAATCCTAATTAGGTAATCATGCAAGCAGTTTATGGCTGTCTCGTTCATAACCAATTAACTGGAGAAGTACTATACATATTGAATCAGCAAAGGACAGCTAGGGAGGTGAATCTAAGAAACAGGGGTTTTAAGTCTTTTATTTCTATGTTTGTTTGTTTTCGTAGAATAAGAATTCCTATCATTAGTACAAAAACAAAAGGCTGCCTAAATTAAAAGTAAGCATATATGTGGTCTCTTTATGTCTTCTTTATCTTAGAAATGGATAGTTCCTCTCCCTCTCTGTACACATATGTGCAGACAAAAATAGAAATGACTTCAGTTGTTCTTATTTCTGATAACTAATCTCACATACTTAAACATATATTGAGAAGTCACTTAAGGACTTTCCGAGTCTACAACCTCTGAAGGCTGACACTCCTCCACCCTCCATATCCTCCATCTGGACTTGGTGCCTCAGTCTCCACTTCACTGTGGTCATTCTTTACCTGAGGCTAAATTTAAATACTCCAGCTGCTCTTAATCATCTAGCAACCATCTAGTGCCAGAAAGAAAAGGATGTAAACTTATTTCACATATATTTTTGCTAATATTTTGACACATTATGTAGACAGGAGTGTTGTCTAATATTGAAAATTTATAAAGGGGGCATTCTCTTTTAAAGTCAATTCTTGTTGGTCTTTAAGGATGTGATCTTATAACTTTCAAAAATTAAAACTTTTTGAGGCAACTGTTGATTCATATGCAGTTTAAGAAATAATACAGAGGTATCCCATGTACCTTTCTCTAGTAATTTTTATTAAGTTAAATCTGCTTATGGTTTTACAATTTATAAAGTGCCTTTTTTTTTTTTTTAAGTGTATCTCATTCAATTTTCACATTATCTCATTTACTCCTGAATCCAGAAAATAACTCTAGGAGCTAAGTATTCTTAACACTCCCATTTTACACAAGAGGAAATGGAAGCTCAAATATTTTACTTGATTTGTATATGATCACAAAGGCAGTAAGTAGCAAAACTGAGGCACTAACTCAAGCTTTTTTGTTTATTTTTGCTTAAATTCCAAGCGTTTCCTTTTCTATCACGTGAATTTACTGCAACCCCTTAAATTTTTTTTGAAACTACAAGTATGCTGACAGTTATACAGAAAAAAGGGGAAGAAGACTTAAAAAAAGAGCAAAAATTAAAGACTACAGAAATAGGGAAGTGTTTCTTGTAATCAAATAGCTGCTACAGAAACAGCAGGTAATGAGGAAACTGCTTTTGTCTCTCTTTTTAAATTAATGAGAAATCATTTGTCTCTTTTGGTCACCAACATAGTGGATAACTTTTTGTGTTGCTAATTTTTACACTGTTGAGAAGAAACAACATTTCTGAAATTAATTTTTTTAAAAGAGGAAAGGTAGATTTAGAGCAGGTTTGAGAATTATAAGTATATAAAGTACCATAATAAAAGGTAGAATAAGTAAGAGTCATCATGAATTTTCATCTTTTCCTCAACATGTAGCTTAAGTGCTTATTGGTCTATAAACTCTGAGGAAAAAGATTTTTTGACAAAGGTCATCAAATATGTACTCACCACTGTGACTGGATGATGTTTTTCCACAACAACTGAGCTCATGGGAGGAGAAACTCCCATTATAGCTAAGCTGCTACTAACTCTGTTTTTGGAGGCAAAATCACATCTCCCTGTGATCCGGGCTGTAATTGTTCTTCCAGCTTTCTGTTGTGCAGATGTCACAACTCTGGGCACATACTAAAAAAACAAAGAAATATCCAGCTGGTAGAAAAATCCATAGCAAAATATATAGTACTTTTGCTTCTGTAACTTGTGAGGGAAATACACAGGCACTTAAAAAAAATTGTATATTAAGCAACTTTAACATGGAAAAAATAAAACAATCAGACAAAAAGCAAAATATAGAACCAAGCACCCTAAAACGCCCCTTTAATTGGGTGTACCAACCATTTTATAGGATTTTATAAACTTTTAATAAACTCTTCATTCTGAAATACAGATTCATAGGAAGTTGCAAAGATAGTATAGAGAAGTCCTGTATATTCCTTACCTGGTTCCCTGCAAGGATTACATCTTATATAAGTATAGTATAATTATGACGTCAAAGCCAAAAAACTGACATGGGTAAAAATGCCTTGGTATTATAGATCCATGTCATTTTTATCACGTTTGATTCCTGTAACTATCACCGTAATCAAGACACAAAACTATTCTAGCACCACAGTTTCCCTCTTGTGAACTTTTAGGATCATATCCATTTCCCTTCCTCATCCACCCTTAACCCTTGGCAACCATTATTCTGTTTTATGCATGCTTTTGATCCTTATGTATAATTAACTTTACGCATATGCCTCTCATTAGGCATATGCTTTTGTGTTTTTTCTTATTGCTTTAATATACTTTTCCTCACGAATACAGAGACCTGTTATAACTTTTTTTTAACAGATTTTTAAAATTTTTTAAAATTTATTTATTTATTTGACAGAGGGTGGGGGGAAGCAGGCTTGCTGCCCAGGAGAGTGCCCGATGTGGGACTTGATCCCAGGACCCTGAGATCATGACCTGAGCAGAAGGCAGAGGCTTAACCCACTGAGCCACCCAGGCGCTCCATGTTATAACTTTTAATGAGAGGTTTTAATAACTGACAAATGAAGGTTTATCTAACTCAGTTATTTTCCCACTATAAAAGGAAACAAAATTTTTGTAAATGAGGATTCCCCTTTTGAGTTTTTTCTATAGAGTATTTTGCAAAAATGAGATGATCATATCAAAAGGTAATGTCAGCTTATACAGCTTTTGTTACTTACTGCTGGATGATACTCAAGAAAGATATTTCTATCAGGAATAACATATATATTTAATTTGTGGTTATTAATTTTTCATATTTGCAGTTCATTTTCTCAACTATCCATGTTCTTTAATTACTTGCCAGGAATGGGTATTGTTCTCAAAAACGTTTAACTGCTCCTGATAAAGGTACTTATAGTATTTTCCCTATTTCACTTATCTGTTTTATTTTTCAATGCACATAAATTTTAAAAATTATAGCTAATTTTATCATTAATTTCTTCCATAATTGAATCAAGCAGCTTGCCTTGGACAGCTGGGGTACTTATACTCTTCTAACATTTACTTATTTGGGTTTAACTTATTAAAACATGTGAAATTTCAGTGTGAATTATGAACCTAAATTAATTTTCCCTCTAACCATAGTTTTTCCAAAAGCATTATTAGTGATCTTTCCTCATTGTCTCATCTATCTGAGGTTTCATTCATTGAAGTTCTTTACATATCTGCATCTAGCTACAGATGGTTACAACTGTAGGATGACATGCGTTCCATGAGAAATGTCTCTGGGAAAATTAAAATGACAGAATATTGATATGTCAGGAAGACCCTGGGAAAACAGCACTCAGTGAGGTTTTGTAAATCCTTGGAGAGTTTGGATTTGAGACTTACTTAGAGTTGCAGAGAAAACCAAGTAAAGACAAAAATGAAGGGATCAATTCCAGGAACAAAAAACTGTACTAGAAAGGAAATATAGGCATAATGTACATTTGTAGCTTAGACATATTTACATCGTCATCATAAACTTTAACTTAATGCAAAGTTGGAATATTTGTATCTAAATATATAAGTGGAGGAGCACCTGGGTGACTCAGTAGGTTCAGCATCTGACTCTTGATTTTGGCTCAGGTTATGATCTCAGGGTTGTAAGATCATGCCCTATGTTGGGCTTTGTGCTGAGCATGAAGCCTGCTTAAGATTCTTCTATCTCCTTTTCCCGCTGCCCCTCCCCCTGCTTGCACTCTCTCTCTCTCTCTCTAATACATACATACATACATACAGTGAATGAGGGAGGGGAAGGCAAGGAATAAGGTGGTATGAAAAGGCCAAGTTCTTCCATCCATAATAGGAAGTCAACAGATAATGTCTGAAACTGATGCATGTGGAAATGATATGAGCATATAATTTAGGGAAAAAAGGGTAAATAGGAGAAACAACTAACAGAATTTAGGGAGAGATATTTAGACAACTGCTTCTCATATATACTTGCAGAAACTATTTGGCTATTTAAATTTTTTTTTTTTTAAAGAATGTATTTATTTGACAGAGAGTGAGAGAAGGAGAGAGAGCACAAGTGGGGGGAGCAGCAGAGGGAGACGGGGAAGCAGGCTCCCTGCTGAGCAGGGAGCCCAATGCGGAACTCGATCCCAGGATCCTGAGATCATGACCTGAGCCAAAGGCAGAGGCTTAACCCACTGAGCCACCCAGGTGCCCCAGCTATTTAAATTTTTATGGGTCTTACGAAATTAAGAAACCAAAACTCTGATCTTAAAATATTTACAAATATGTTTTTGTGTACTTTTACTTTTGACCTTAGGAAAACCTTATCCTATTTCTTATTAAAGTACAAAAAAGACTTTATGAACTGCTCAAGAGTTTTAAAAACCATATACAAATGTAAAACTGATTGCAGGTAAGAATATTTTTATGAAAAAATTTAAAACTGAAGTACAATTAAGCTGATAACCATATTGCTGCCCAGTCACATTTGAGGGGTATAAACACGCCCAACTCTAACAGGTGTTCTTACTTGGAGGACGAAAGAATGAAAGAAAAACTAGGTAAATTTTGACAGGGAAACATGTGGCATGAGAAAAACTAGAGTAGCTAGGAAAATGTCCATGGGTGATAACCTTCATCCAACTAGCTGAGAATCGTTTTAAAATGCCTTTGGTAGGGGGTGCCTGAGTGGCTCAGTCGGTTAAGCACTTGCCTTTGGCTCAGGTCATGATTTCAGGGTCCTGGGATTGAGCCCCACATAGTACCTAGTGCATAGTGTGTAGTACATAGTACTTAGGCTCCCTGCTCAGCGGGGAACCTGCTTCTCCCTCTCCCTTTGCCCCTCCCCCTGGCTCGTGCTCACTCTCTCTCTCTTTCTCTCTCTCTCTCACTCTCTCAAATAAAATCTTTAAAAAAATAAAATAAAATGCCTTCAGTAAGATAAGAAATACATATTCTAGTAAAGAACAATAAAGACTAAAAAGAAACCTCTATCACTTTTTTGAAATAGTTGTCTTAATTGACTTGCATGTTTACCAAGTCTGCTTTTTGTTTTCAAATAGTTTGTTCTATAATCAGATTATATTGCAAGTTCTGTTAGGTTCTTGCTTTACTTACAAAAAGTGAAATTGGAAATTACAGAAAAAATAATCCACTTAGTGTAGCTTATTTAAAAGAGATGGCTTAATTACAATCTGTGAACCCATACTCAGTTCAGCTACACTAGCAAATACTCACACTCATGTTTGAACATAAAATGATGTGTAAGGTATGTATATATAATTTTTAAAAATTTCCTGCTTTAACTTTTTTTTTTTAACTGACTTTTTGACTAAAATGACCACTTACTGGTCCCAGTCATGTTGAATCACATTAAATTTATCAGCTTAATTGACTTTAAAAATGCTATAAAAATGTAAATTCTAGCATTTTATGCCATATCAACAAAAGCAACAAAATCAAAAGGATTAAGAAAGAAAAGGAAAATGACATATTTTTAAAACTCATTATTTTATCTTAATAATTGACATGGAGACAAACTCAATTATTGGTTAAGAAACAGGGTTCTAGGGGCACCTGGGTGGCTCAGTGGGTTAAGCCTCTGCCTTTGGCTCAGGTCATGATCCCAGGGTCCTGGGATCGAGCCCCGAATCGGGCTCTCTGCTCAGCGGGGAGCCTGCTTCCCCCTCTCTCTCTGCCTGCCTCTCTGCCTACTTGTGATCTCTGTCAAATAAGTAAATAAAATCTTAAAAAAAAAAAAAAAAGAAAGAAACAGGGCTCTGTGGTCAAACTGTCAAAAGTCTGAATTCCAGTTCTGTTACTGCTTATATCCACAGGCAAGTTACCCCTCCCTCTCTCTAAACCTTAGTTTCTATTTATAAAATGAGGAAACCAGTGCTGGGTGCCTAATGATACCCTCTTACTTTACATTCAGATGAAGAGGAAAGTTAAGAGGGGGCCTCAGTATTACTAAAGAGTTTAAAAATCCAACTGAAACCTCTCAACTATTCCAACTGGGAGTTAGAAAAAGAATAAAGTGTCTGTCACCCATTGTCCAGCCTTGTGAACTACAACATATTTGCTTGTATAACTGCCTAATCTATTTCTTAAAGAGTGCTTTCCACCATGAAATTCTGGCATTTTATTTAACATACTGAGGATGTCTGCAGAAATTAAAAATTTTGCAGAGGGAAGTGTTATTTTACTAGGATGGTAATCCTCCTTTCTCCAGTTATTTGTTTCCCAGGCTTTGCAGTTTATTCTCTGTAAACAGCTCCTTTCAGCTACTGAAAATACTAAGACTGGAAAAAGTTTTGAATAGTTCCTAGGAAGCCTCTGTGATTAAAATGAAAAGAAAGATAACCAGGCCTACCTCACAAATCTCTCCGTTCCTAGTCCCAACAATGACAGTTTCACATTAGGTAAGCTAGCCAACTAATGTCCTTGTTCCTTTTTTTTGTTATTATAGTTTTTTAAAAATAAGGAGACAAATCTGAGGTAAACCTGAATCTGAGGACTGTAATTATATAAGGAAGGAAGAAAATTAGCATTATACTTAGAGTGATTTACTTCTGATTTTCCTCTCCCCCTAACCCTAAAGGCTGTATTTATGTGAACAAAATTGAATGTATATCTATTAATAGAGGAGGATGTAGTTGAAAGGGCTGTCTCCACAATATTGTGTTTTTCAGGTTTCAAAATTATCTCAAATTATTTCAAAAAGTAAAAAATAGAGTGGTAAACATACTCATTCATTTTCTTCCTGTGCATGTTCAGGTTTATACATATATGCAGATGTACAAATGGTGTAGACATACTTGAAGGGAATTTCTGAAAAATTTACGTCTGTGTATTATCTGAATATGCAACATGAATGACAAACCAGAAATTTAAATAAACACTCACTGTATTTACTTAAATGAAATCATCTGTATAGAATCACACTTGAAAATGTGTAATCATGAAAAATAAACACAGCTGAACATATGTCAGAGTTGAATTTCAGTGTCTTATTTCTAAGTCAAAACTCCCTCACACATTCAAATTTCTCTTAAGAGCTATATTTTTTAACCTCTTTGAATCAAGAGCAAATGTGATGAATAGCAGATCTCAACGTATTTTCCCCCTAAAGTTAGTAGCTTCCAAAAGGCAGAAATTCATGTCAGCTGGAATACTCCAGATGGACAGTTGTCTGGCTGACTCCATGCCTTCCTTAGCTACAAAGAGCTGTCCAGGGCAATGGCAGCTTCTGATGGTCTGCCAGGAGAGCTTTGGGACATCAAACCTATTCTGCCATCTTCTTTCCTCTCAGGTAAGTGCTTGGGGTCAGGAAGGAGAGGGACACAAGCAAATCAGAATCATCTCAGGAGCTTTCTAAAACTAGACATGCCTTCGTGCCCAGGAGATACATTGTTTTTTAAAAAGCCCAGCAGAATGAGTCTGATAAGTTTGGATTGTATCTCTACTCCCTTCACTTTTGAGAACTGCTGTTTATAAAGAATACAGGTTTAACAAGGGGACCCTCAGGAATCAGAACCCTGACATGCTTTGTAACTCTTCCATATTAATTAGCTTGATTAATTCCCTTTCAGGCAAGTTCTCACACAAATACTCCCATTCAACAGTTCTATGCTCTATGCATTTCTCTTGAAAAAAGCTCAGTGACTAGGAAAAACTACTCCCATCTTTTTTTTTTTTTAAACTACTCCCATCTTTATTCCAGCTGTGAATTACAAACACAAACCTACTCAAATCAAGACAGAGTAACTACAGAATAGTATTAATGATATAGCTACATTCAGGGAAAGGGAAAGCTGTAGTTGAATACAAATATTCAAAAGAGCCGTTAATCTTCTAAGCTCTTGAAAAGACATATCCATAAGAGTTCCCTTCAAAATAAAGTCTGTCATCAACTCTTTCTCAAATCTATTTTTCCTAATTCTTGAAAAATGTGAAATGAAGAAGTTTTTAATTCTCACTACTGTAATTGAACTCAGCCATTATTTTCATTTAAAATTGTTTTAGCTACTTCATATATTAACTATTTTCTATGGCTGGGCCTAAATACCATATAGAATTTTCCTCCATGGGAAAGTATGTCCTAACTGAAAAATCTCCAATATACATGCAAGTTTTGAGCCCCTTTCCCCACACGGGCACCTGTATTAACCGTACTGACCATTTCTTCTGGTGCAGCAGCAGCTGTAGACCCGGAGCCAAGAGTTGCAGAAACCGGAAGGTGAGCAGAGGAAGCAGAAGTGGCCCCAGCAGAAGTGATGGAGGCAGCGGAGGTAAAAGCAGAGGCGCTGGCCGCTCCCATGGCTGCTGCTGGCGGGGATGGTGGCAGTGCAACCACTGAGGGCATCTGAGGGGCCAGAGAATCTGACTGAGAAGAATGTTCTTTGCCTTGAACGCCAGGGCCATACTCTTCTTTTTTATTTGTGAAGTCTATCCCTACAAATTGCAAAATAATTCCATTAACAGTCTTCCAGGTTAAGATTCCTTTTATGCCCCCCAACAATGAAAATACATAATAGCTGAAATTTGGTTCTAAAGAAAATGTAGGAATCTGTCATGTATTGCATATAATGTTTAGCATTATTAACTGGTTAATGTTAGCATTAACCACTAAAGACTAAAGACCATTTCCTTCAATATGTGAAAACTAATGAAGATTTGCTCTTATGTAAAAGATAAAAATAAGTATGTACTCAGCTAGGTTGTCAGCTGAGTAAAATGTATTCCCAAAACAGCCATTATAATAATATGGTCACACTGAGTCTAAGGATTCATTCTGAACCATTTCATACAACTGCCTGGTATTTAGATCTGTAGAATTTTTTTCTGATATCACTATACCCTCTCATTTCCATCTGTTGTTCCTATCCAAACAAAATCAATATATTTTAAACTTGATTTTTCAGCAAACAATAATAAATCAGTAAATAACACTAAAAATCAGTAACACTAAAATTTTTACTTTTAACTTTGTAAAAGAAATCAGTTCTTGCAAGTTGATTAAATAAACTCATGGATTAGGTATATTTGCACACTTAACTAATTTTAGTGGCACCCTATATAGTAACCTTCTCTCAAAAATGAACCTTACCCTTGGATCAAAGGAGCAACACTGGCTTCCAGAAGCTAAACCAAAGCGTTTCTTCATATTTTAGATCCCAGTCCACCCCCCCCCAGTATTATAAGCACTGTATAAGTATTATAAGACTGTATCTATGTAGCACCCAACACCAGGGTGAGGGTTTGGAAATTCAGCCACTGAGATGCTTCAAAATGTCTGAACAGAGGGTGTTCTATGGCCCTACGTTTAAATGGTTTTTGATGTTATCCTCTTTGTATTTGAAATTTGGGCTTCTGTAAGTCCTTCTCTTAGGCTATCTTTATATAAAACAGAGTAACAGTACCTCATTAACAAAGCTGAATGAGAATTATAATTCATAGATCTTTTGAAATCCTTTGATGAGAGGGACTAATTCAAAATAAAGTACTGCTTTTTACTTTAAAAGCAAAACAAAGTTTTTAACATGCTTTTGATAGCAAGTGATTCTGATTGTGTCTTTTTAGGTGGGTGGCAGACTTAATCAGATGTGGAACAAGTACAAAGGTGAGTTCTCATGATGGGATTCCCTGGAATAGAGGTAGCTGATTTTTATTGTTATTCCCTGGAATAGAGGTAGCCATTTTTATTGTCACATTTGCCTTCTCCATAAAACTTCTAATTTCTAATCCTTAAGATTTAGGATACTATACAGATTTGAGATTCAGGATTTAGGATTTAGATTTAAGATTTAGGATACTACTGAGATACACTGCAGATCATGGACAGCAGAAAATCAGGACACACAAAAAACCAAGTATTTGTTCTGCTGTGACAAGATAGATACATCATTATTAAAAACTGCTTTTAAAAAAACAGTTGTTTTAGAGGAAAAAGGGCCAGAAGTAATTTTATCTTGTTAGAATTAAAAATTTTTTAAAGCTTTTAATGAAATGCCACAAAATTACAAATCACAGAGCAAACCTTGCATTAGTTAACACTGAACTTTTGCTTTTGGTAGCTTTACCAACACTACTACTAATGTGTCTTACTTTCCTGTCATTTTTATCCCCCATTGTGATGACAGCCACTCAGAACAATTAAGATCCCAGGACTTGGCATTAACTGCAGATAAAAGGAGATTTAAAAGCAACAGGGGCAAAACAAATCATGTTGTGTAATTATCAGAATACTTTTTCTCCAAATCCAGTTCTGGATATTTGCCTGTAGGAGACAAAGCTGTATCTGAATTTAAAAATTTAAGACAGTAAAGTTATTAAGGTGGTAGAACACTCTGTCCTAGTCAATTCATAATCTTCTTATGTAGGTTATGAGAAACAGGTCTCTTATAATTGAATGTAGGAAGTATAATTTGTCACTTGTGAAATCTAGGATCTGTTAGAAGCAGATAATTAAATTCTTCAATTTAATACATATAACTTGCTAATAATTACAACTGGTGGTGGTGAGTTTGTTTTCACTGTTGACACTCAATTAAAAGACCATTTATTGAAGAAATCAAGTACTCCTTTGGGTATTAGCAAGATAAACTATTCTGCCTTGAGATTCTAGGATTTCTCACTGCTTCAGAAAAAAATAATTGGCCTTAACTTGCTAGTATCCACACCACATGCAATTTAAATAATAAATGTTTGAAGATGTTTTTAAAATAAAGGTATGACAACCACAGAAAAGTTATTCACTGGATTGGAATGTTAATGATGTTCTAAATGAAACTGTGTCATTGATAAACTGTGAATCTCAAATATGATTTAATATGAGGGTATACTGCAAAAAACTGTTCACATATTTTCATAAAACAGGTTGATGTGAATTAAGATAGTGATAATTTTATCATTGCTATCATCTTACATGTCAAAGTATGTTTTGTCTTTTAAAGAGCTTCCAATTATATTTCACTGCATTTCCAAAAGAACCCTCTGTGAAGCAGGTAGGGAAGATTTATATTATCTTCTTTGCTCAGAGCAGAATACTAAAACTCACTAAGGAAAATAGGCCTCAGTGCAAATTAGTGGCAAAGACTCTAGTCATGTGCTATTCTAAGCCCTGCTGGAGAAACACCCACATAAACCACACAGATTCCAGCTAATACAGGGACTTCTCTTTTCTTGAAATAAAATTATTTTACTTGACTGCTGTAGATAGGCCTATATTAATATTTGTTGAAAATTAGTTTTAGTTGGGGTCACTCTTAAACTGAAAACGAGAATTTTTAAAATGGGAAACCATGACTAGATAAATATTTAATAAACAAAATGGTCCAAGGAATTTGGCTACTTAAAAAAATAAATAAAAATTTTGTACTTGAAGGCATTGCGGTTATTAGTTAAAAGAGCCTTAAAATACTGTTTTGTATTCAAAACATCATTTTAACACTGAGCCAAAACACTTAAGAGTTGACAGTTTACTTGATCAGATCTAAGATACCATAAATAACCAAAACTGAGTGAATTTTCAAGGCAGATTTAAAACTGGGTATGACACCACCAAGTTAAAAATACCAGTACCTGGAAAAGACATAGTCATTGCAGAAAATCAGTACTACAGACCACATCAATCACTGAAATCTCCTCAAATCCTTTTTGAAAGTAGGCAGAGAACTTTATACAAAATAACTAACCTGTATCACCTCTGTTTTGAAATATAGTCATGGCTTCGAGATTTAATGCACACACACCCCTCATGAAAGCTTTCTTCATGGAATCTTCAAAGTGCTCTTTTTCTTGCTGCATTCTTTGAATCTCAGCTTTTGCATTTTCCAAAGCTCCAGATAACTAAATAAGGGGAATTTTTGAAAAGAAGCAGATTGAGACACAAGGAAGGATATTAGTCAAAACACAGACTTATACTATGAAGTTATTTTTTTTTACAAAAAGCAGGCTATGTTTATTTACAGTCACAAGGAGTTGACTGACTCAGTGTGACTCAAACTACAAGGAAACCATTCTACTTCACTCCATTCTGAATCCTAGGGTGGCCTAGATTGGCCAGAGTGCTGCCTGGGCCCATTCACAGGTTTATAAGTTTCTCAGTGAGGGCAATCTGTGACTCTCTGAGATTGGCCAAGTGGCTGTTGAACATGGTCTCAAAGTCACTGGGAATTATCTTGGGTACTTGGTGACCCAGACTCCTCAAGAAATGGACCGTGGTATTGTCAGCTGACACCCTTCCAGACAGCACATCCTCTGTGTACTGCAACACTATCAGGGCATCCCAGATGTGAACCGATGCCCCTCAGGCTTGCTGCAGATTGCTCGAGAGTCTGAACATCTGGTTGGGGCTCAAATAGGTCTTCATGATCAGGTTGACTCTAATGTGTTCAGTGTCATAGTATGCCTATTTCACTGTCAGAGGTGTGAACATTACTCTCATGGTACTCCCAGGGACACCCATTAAAGTGCTGACCTAGGCCTTGCTGCTCAGAGAGGCTGGTGCCCACAGTGAGGTGAATGGGAATGGGGACTTCCCTGCCATAGTACTTAACAGCACAGGGTGCTCTGTAATGTCACGGCCTGCTGGGTACCAGCCCAGGATAAGCTCATTTGGAGAGACTTTCTTGTGTAATTCATACACGTTCTTAGTGAATTTCATGTCAACAACTACTTCATCTTTTGATTCATTGGGAGGTACTGAAAAGAAGCTGTTGGTGACTTTCGTTGAATGCTTGTCAACAGTTCTCAACAGGGTCCCGAAAACTCAGGCCATGCTTCTACTGCATTGTCGCTCTTCACAATGGAGGCCAAAATGACCTGACGTGGCTGGACCACGTGGCTGCAGTGGGGAGAAGGGAAGAGGACTAAGGGGCTGCACAACAGCCGGAGCTGAGCCAGTGCTGGTGCTGAAGCCAGGGATGGGTTGGGGCTGGGGCTGGAGTGGTGGCAGGAGTCCTTGCTGGCACTGTTAGTGTGGCCCTCTTGTCAAGCTCTGAAGTTATTCAGAAGTTATGTAAAATACTAAAAACACTTTACCTCTTCCACCACGTATCTCAATTTATTTTAAAAGGTGCATTTTTACCTCTTACTGTCTCTATCAATAAACCATTTTCATTCCTAACCATAAAATCAAGTTTCAAACAAGGGGAATTTCATGCTGGTCCCACCAAAGGTTGTTGTGTTTTTAATTATACCAATAGATATGTCATTTCTTACCATAAAACTTTTATGCAGACTATTAAGCAAAATACATTAAAAGCCACAGACAGACTCTCATCTCTTCAGAAAAAAAATACCTAAATGCACTATTAAGAGAATTTTTCTTTCATTCTTTCTTTTTAATTAAACATTATCTATAGACTTTACAGGGTAAAGTGACATTAGGTACAATCCCATAGGCCAAATCTCAAGGGACTGCATTTTTCTTTTTGCAAGTCATCTTGAATTGCAGCAAACTATTTATATAATGAATATTATTTTTAACATTAAGAACTTAGTCCTATAATGATGAAAAAAGGGTTTTAATATTTGATTTCAAGAGGCCCTCTGCATTCTTCACCGTGGTTTTTATTTAATTTTGGGTCTCAAATATTTTCCCTTGGAAACAATGTTTATTTTGTTAATAAAAGTCAGTGGGAAAATGACTTCAATTTATATGCAACTGCTTATCAGAACATAATTTACTTATATTAACATAAGGATAAACATTTTTGTTTTGGGTCTTTATTTTTGGCTCAATAAAGGCCAAGTAAAGAAGCATAAGAAAGCATGCTTTCTTAGAAATGTAAGGGTCTACAGGTGATTGCCAAGGGAAGTGTACATTTAAGAGAGCCAACTAAAGTTTGGAGGTCAGAGTTAAGTTAGTCTTAACTAGTGTTCTCTGCCAGGAAGTCTCATTTGTATCTACATGGCATTAAATGGAACTGGAGAAATGGGTTACTCTGCCTAACTACAAACAGTATTTTATCTTTTTAATTTTTATTAAAAGAAATTGAAAGTATAAAAAAAAGTTTACCACAGCAACTCTGGTTTCATAATCATTGGAAATCTGGACACAAACTTCTTCCGCTCTTGCTTGACAAGCTCGTTCTACCACATCTTTCCACTGTTTCTGTACTATGGATCTCCAGCCTTTCCAGACTTTCTTCAGTAAAGTTCTCTGGAAGTACTGGTCAGCTAGTTTACCTTCATAGGCCTAAATGAAAGTAATATACAACCTCAAAAACACAGTAACTGGTAAATATATTGGCAGTGAAATTAAAAAACATAATGAAACCCTGAGGTAAGCAGTGTACATACATTATCATCTAATCCTGTATAATCATATTATTCTCATTTGCAGACAGGAGAACAGGCTTAGAGAGAGGTTAAGTAACCTGCCCAGGTCATACAAATAGAAAGGGAAAAGCCAGCCTCACCTCATTTCAGAACCTAAGCTCTTATCCTTACATCACTGTTGTATGCCACCCATCAAGTTAGGAGGAAAAAAAAAAAAAAAAAGAAACAAAATGAGTAACTTGACATTGGCATTATGAGTCTGTATCACCTTTCAGCTGAAATCAGGTCTAGGCGAAGGACAGAGTGGCTGCAAGGCCGATAAGGTGGGGCCTGTGGCTTTACATGCCACTGCTTCCTCTTCCACCTGGTGGCCACTGCCATAAGCAAGGCTAATTTAATTCACACACTTGGCCATCAAATAGAGTGCCAAATAGATCCAGATAGAAGCATATGCCAGTCTTCTTTTATCAATGGATTGAAATTCTTTTGAAGTAGTTCCAATTTCAATTTTCTTAAATTTGAAAAGCTATTCAAAAACTGATGGTAGCCTCAAGTATTTCAACTAACATTTAAACATAATATATTCTCATCATTTCACTTGATAAATAACTTTTAAAATACGGCATTCTCATTTAAATAGCTCTTTTCAATATGTGTAGGTTAGTGTAGAATTAATCTACCAGGATTAATAAAAAACAATGAAAGCACAAGAAAGTATCTTTTAAAGAGAAATCCTGTTCCATGATAGTAGTAGCCTTTTCCTTAAGTATTAATTTCTTAGAAGTAAATGCACAGAGTTCATTCCATGGCTCACATGAACATCAAATAAAACACACACACACACACACACACACACACACACATCCATCCCCTATACTCTTGAGTCTCTATACTGTCTTCTTGTGGGATATAGATATATTCTCATACTTTTCCACTTCTGATATTGTAACTTACTATTCTTGGTTTATATTTACTCTGCTATCCTGATTCAGCTCTTATTAAAATAAAGATGTTCAAGTTTAAATTATAAACAAACTAAAGAATTTTTAAGAAGCTATATAGACACAGTTTTCTTTGATTCTCATCTCTAAGGCAAGTCTACACAATAAACTTTCACACAATTTTATAATATATTGATACAGTACTGCCTCTTTATGAAGAAGATATATTCAGGCATTTCTGAAGGAGAAACAATATGATATGTTAAAGATTATAAATTCTTTCTCCTCATAATCACATCTGACATTAACTTTGTTAAAGGGATTCCATGACATGGGCATCTATTAGTCAGGTAAGATCCTTACTAACTTACTACAAAGTGGGAAATGAAAGATCAATTGATCTATAAAAGAGGTGTTTTTCCCAAACTAAAATTCTTTGAAATAAGAGCGACATTAAATTATAAATTCATTTTGATTTATTAGAAAATAAATCTTTCTTTAGCTTTAACAATAACTCTAAAATGTGATCCTAAACCCTTTTGAGTTTCAGAAGTCTAATATCTGTCAGTTATCATTTTGTTTTTATACTTACATCCTGTCTGCATTTAACATGGCCAATTCGCCAGTGGAAGAATGTTCTCATCAACTCTATCCTTTCCTTTTGCTTGCCTATGGCATGAGACAAGCTAGAAATCACCTGTAAGTAGCAATTAACTCAATTATTGTGTTGTTACATAATAGTAATTTGCACAGTGATTTTCTCATTTATCAAAAATGCTCAAGAGAATACTTATGCATCACTTGTATATTCGTCCAGTTAACCTCTTTATTATCTGTAAAAAGGCCAAAAACCTTGACCACATGAATGCACTACGTATCAATGAATGAAAAGGAACAAAAGAAAGAAAAATCTTCATTATGTGTATCTTGGCAATCATAAAAAAAGTTTACATATGTGAAAATTAATATAGTCACTGGCATTTAATTCAAGAAAGACAACTACATATTTGATTATTTTGCTACATATACACAAAGTCCCTGTTCACTAGACTTGAGGGTAGCGACCAGGGTTTTAAACATCTTTCTGGTCCCTAAATACTTTTGGTACTTTGGATTAGAAGTTGCTAAGGATTTTCTAGATTCAACAAACTCAAAAAAGCAAACAACAGTTATACTATAATGTTCTTCTTCAGTTTTTCCTGTTCTTTTTTTTTTTTTAAACCTATGAAGACTTTTAAATTTTAAAACGATATTCTCTCTTACAAAGAACTGAGAAGCCGAAATATATTTTTTAAATTGGCCACATTAAAGCAAGATTTAGTAAATTGGGCATATTTACTGAAAGACATTTATTCTGGCTCTTCTTCAAATAATTTTCAAAAGTGGAAAAGGGTATACATGCTAAGACATTAGTAATATTCCATTTCTTGAGCTCTATAATGGCACATAGCTGTTTATCTTTTTCATTTTCAAACTGGGCCCATGTATACTCTTTTGTGTGTGATACTTTGAAATTGAAAAATATATATTTAAAATATTTTGGGGCGCCTGGGTGGGTCAGTCAGTTAAGTGTCTGCCTTCCTCAGGTCATGATCTCGGTGTCCTAGGATTGAGCCCTGTGGCAGGGAGCCTGCTTCTCCCTCTGCCCCTCCTGCCTGCTCATGTACTCTCTCCCAAATAAATAAATAAAATCTTTAAACTTAAATATTTTAAAACCTAAGGACAGAGTTTTGAGGGCAACAGAGAAAATGACTGATGTTAGTATCTATTGTCTCAAAAAAGTAAATTAAATGTTTGATTTTATATAATACCCTGAACACCAAAATAAATATATATTTTTAAAAATATATAATCTTTATCTAGTTCATTAAAACAGTAAATGCTGCATCTGCAGACAAATAGCTGAGGCATTGTCTCTGAAAACCACCATGGCAGGGGAAGGGCAGGAAAAACAGTGGATATATTGCCCATTCTGCTGTTGAAGGTGCTGTAGTGAGGTACAAAATTAGTAAAGACCGGAACCTTACTCTTTTGTTCTTAAGAGGCTAAAAGAAAGTGAAGTACAAAGTATTCTCTGTGTGGGGTGTCTGGGTGGCTCAGTCTGTTAAGCATCTGATTCTTGATTTCAGCTCAAGTCATGATCTTGGGGTGGTGACATTGAGCCCAGTGTTGGGCTCCTCTCTGGGCGTGGAACCTGCTTGAGATTCTCTTTCTCTCTCTCCCTCTGACTCACCCACCCCTTGGGCACTTGTGCTCTCTCTTTAAAAAAAAAAAAAAAAAGGTGCTCTCTGTGTCTGTAATAATAGGAAAAAATTTTTATCAATGAATAAAGACATATCACAAATAAAATGTGATATACTTAAAATGGCCTCTTAAAACATAGTTTAACATGGGGGTAATGCTGGTTCCATGATATTCTCTTAAGAACAGTTAGGAAGAAAAAGACTGGGGAAAACAATTAAGTGTCCCAATATTTAGCATGCACTTTTAAAACTTTAAGCACACTTATGGTGGTGACAAAGATTAAATGACATGACCCTGGCATGTTTAATAGGATGAATGTATCTTATTTCTATGCATCTGGGTTTTTTTTGGTTTTTGTTTTTTTTTAAAAGATTTTATTTATTTGACAGACAGAGATCACAACTAGGCAGAGAGGCAGGCAGAAAGGGAAGCAGGCTCCCCGTCAAGCAAAGAGCCAGATGCAGGGCTCGATCCCAGGACCCTGGGATCATGACCTGAGCTGAAGGCAGAGGCTTTAACCCACTGAGCCACCCAGGCGCCCCTCTATGCATCTGTTTTTGTTTTTTCCAGCTTCTGAAACAATCTTCCCTTTGTATCTTGTATGACCTAAATAATCCGTTCCTGGCATTTATTACCTAGCAAGATCTTTATTGCATCTCACTTAAAAAGAAATGTAAAAGTGAAGACCTCATCTTTTCTCCCGATGGAAACTTCATAGGCTTTTTGCAGCTCCTTCAAGCTGTTGATCTGGTTGCACAGTTGTTTTAAGTGTGCTGCATGTTTTTCTTTCTCTTTTTTCATTTCCATTCGGTGCCAGTCAATAAAATTCAGTCTCCATTTGCTTAGTTCAGATATGATGTTTGTCTGAAAAATAAATACACCAGCAATTAAGCAGTTTGTTTAACATTACTTCTTAAAATTACACCGAAATTAAGAAACATTAAAGATCATCAGAACAAGCAATCAACGTAAGAGCTATTTATAAAAATCCCTAATGAAAATGTCTTCAAGTTCAACAGCTGTGACTGTTTTTCTCAGTTCATATTTGCCATACTAGGGAAATGAATTTTTTTCCTATTTTAAGTTATTTGGTATGAAACCTTGTTGTTCTTTAAAAAAAAAAACCCTTCAGGTCTCCTTCACTAGTAAACAGATACTTTGTTTATTCAAGGACTTCAATGTCCATAAAGATGGCCCAGGGAAAGCAGAAATGTAGGCGTATGGCCGAGGCTCAGCCATAGGACTGGGAAGTTACTTAGATAGAAGTGGATAGTGGAAACCATGGGACTGATGCTTTCTTCCCCGAAATCATTTATCACAAAGGACATCTTACAACAAACTGCTGAATCTGACCACTTTTCACCCTACTGACTGGCATAAGTAAAAATACCAAATAATTATGTTACCAAAGAAACTAGGTAACAATATGATTATCTGAACCTAGAACAAATTAAATGAGTGGCAGTGGCTACTCCACTGGACTTGCACCATGATTAGAAGGATGAAACCTGTTCCACAGGAGAAAAATGGTAACAACTATACTGAAAGATTATTTCTAAAATATATAGTTTTAAGTAGTAGAGAAATATAAATGCCATAGAACTCTGATGACCATAATTTCACTATGAATGTGAAATCAGTTGTCTCAAACTATGTTTCAGAAAAACTGTCATTTTCTGCATTATATATTAAATAGCAAAAAAAAAAAGAAAAGAAAGAAAAGAAAAGCTATTTCTGTAATACTTTATTTAGAGGCCAATAATATCACTAAAATAATCAGATTTTATAGTCTTAGCAGTTACACACCGTGGTTGCTCAAAGCAGCTATAAAATGAATACATGTTGCTAAAATATGATCTTGTGTTTCCTACAAAAGGAGACGTTCCCTTCATCACAGCTATGATATGGTCAGGGTTCACTAGGTGTCTCTGTCACACATAGGCTGAGTCTTTAAAAACATCTAAGAAATCCAGTGGAAACCCATAGTAGGTCTTTCTACTAAAAAGTATGCTATTCAAAGTATGGGTCCTGAACTCGCAGAATCACCTGGGAGCTTGTCAGAAATGCATATTCTCAGGGCCCTGGTCAAGACCTGCTGAACGACAAGCTGCTGCTTAACACGATGAGCCGTATGGATATTAAAGACTGAGAAATACAGATTTAAAACACTGGACTGATCTTCTCAGGAAACTCTTTAGTTTTTAGTTCTTTTCACAAAATCTTTTGATTCAAAGAAGACAGTGAGTAGTGGGATCACGAGCAGAACTGTTATCCTACATATTAAACAACTGTAACTGAACAAGTGTAATACCTTAAGCCCTGAACTCCAAAGATCCAGTACATTTTCCATCTTCTGAAGGTTTTCATCTGAAGTAAGAAAATCACTCACAATGATTTCATGGACGTCTGCATGACTAGAAATAGATGCTGGTGAGGAAGAGTCACCTAAGAGGTTAGAGCTGAAAAAATCCATGACAGGGTGTGAGGGTTTCCTCGGTGACGACACTGGCGATGACCCTGTAGAAGAAGGAAAGGTATTGTGGTCAGGTTGGAGGATGGATAACCCAAATGTAAGGAGTTCTAATGGAGGGTGACATGTCAATTACTCACAGAGGTGGAGAAAAATGCAGAGAAATGACCTCTCAGTGTACTTACTTTTAAACTGCGCTTAGGCTGAAATTAATACTGTAATTTTAGTCCTGTCACTGATTCAGGACTGACAAGCATGAGATGCCTCCTACCCTCCCTCCCCCAAAACGACCTCTGTCCCAATCAAGGATGCTTCATATATCCAGTTCCAGTGTGAACTGAAGGTATTATCATCTGCATCATATCAACATTTACTAAGTGCTTACTATGTTCCTGTAATAAAAGTGTTGTAAAGATGAGCTCTCCTAATACATGCTGCTCTGAGATACAGGCATTATTATCTCCACTTCACTGATGAGGAAACAGGTTCAGAAAGGGTTAAGCAACTAACCAAGGTCCCAGTGGTTGTATACAGGTCATTACTACTTTATGTAAAACACTGGTATGGGTTTTAACACAACTAAAATTCAACTCTCTAAGTAGAAGGAGACTAGTACATACTAGTACAGATAATCAGATAATCAGTTGTAAGGCACACTGTTGGCCTTCAACATATGGGTGAAAATATGTACATATATATGCATACATATAGGTCTATATATGTATATACATAATTCCCACCCTCTGCCCCTATACATGGTGGAAGGGTGGGGGATAGAGGGATGGGTGAAAGAGCCAGAAGAACTGGCATCTCCTTTTAAAAAGATGAAATAAAAATAGAAAAAATAGAAAAGGTTACTCTTTTATCACATGTGCATGTTGGAATTAGAGACTATTTATCATCATTTCTCACATACTTTGCTTTTGTTATGAGGGTCCTAACAACCAAGATTAAAAGCCCTCCCTATCTAACTTAGTGAATGAGATGAGTCAAACAAAGATAAGGCTAGTATAGAACTTGTTACTTAAAAGTAAATCAAGAATTCTTTGTGAAAGGGAAAGTCATTCGCTATTATATATTTTTACATAAACAATTTATCAACAAATGGTTTACCATAGTCAAATATGAGATACTACCTACCTATTCTGAAGAATAATTCCAAAGAATAAAAGCAGAGTGACAAAGTATATGAATGTTTTCTTTCACTAGATTTCACCAAGATCAGCACTTGTGGGAAATGCAAGAGGCTCTGCTTTTTATTTTTTATTTTTTTACCTTTTTAAAAAGATATTTATTTATTTGACAAGAGAGAGGGAGAGAGAGAGAGAGAGAGAGATCACAAGTAGGGAAAGAGGCAGGCAGAGAGAGAGGGGGAAGCAGGCTCCCTGCTGAGCAGAGAGCTCGATGTGGGGCTTGATCCTAGGATCCTGAGATCATGACCTGAGCCAAAAGCAGAGACTTAACCCAATGAGCCACCCAGGCGCCCCTTTATTTTTTATTTTTAAACATATATTCACTTTTTAAAAATAGAATCACATAAATGAAGAACTTGAAATGTCCCCCAGCGATTACACTGCCCAAGCCTTTTATTTACAAGTGAGGAAACTAAAGGGTAAAGATTATTTCTTGTGCGATGGCTTAAATGGCCCATACATTATATAACATTGAGTCACAGGGCAAGGAAAATGTTCTATTTTAATTATTTTAAAACATTCTGTGTCAAAGGAAAAGTTTCAGTCTGGTGCTAGTATCCTTTTATAACCTCTGTAACACTTGCTCCTCTCTCCTTTCAACAAAGAAAAAGCAGACTTTGGGCTGAACACAACACATTCACCAGCGGTATTCAATCAAAACTTAATAATTGTGTTTTAGTTTCATTTATTTTTACCACTGTTTTCTTTTATAAAAAGGGCATATTCGAGTTTTATGCTATAATCAGCAATGGCACATACAAATTTTCCTTTTAATGAATTTAAGCGAAAAATGAACATATCTGAAGAAAAAACACAAAAAGAACAAGTGGTATGAAGATAGGACAAAAATCATATACAAATGCCTGAATGTTGGGAAATAACGCACTGGTTCATGAAAACATTTAAATGGGCCAAACTCTCTGACATCCCAATAATTCTTCTAAAGGATTTGCCCTCTAACCTAGCAGTTTTAAGAAAGGATGACACACACTGTAATAGATTAACCTGTCTTAATTGTAGTATTTTGGAATTTTATGAAATTATTTTAAACAGTTATTAGTTAATAAATTAGCAACAGCAACATTTAAAAATCCTGCCAATAAGTAATATGCTGAAATTATTCCTCTTACTACACAAATGTTTTTCACCAAACCACACAATATCATATACTAATAAAAAGAAGCTAAGGAAAAGTCATACCATCCGTCTTTGAATGACTTGAAATATTTAAATCACATCCTTTTCCAACTTCCATCCTTGTTTCTCTTACTACAGGGCTATTTCCTGCTGAAAAGAAAATAAAAAAAAATTTTTTTTTATTAAACCAAACAACTCTCATATTAAATGCCTAAATGCACATCCCTAATTTAAGAAGGTAACAGTATCTAAGATTTTAGAACAAGCAAAATACAACATGCTGGGGAAAGAGGAACACTAAGTCAAAGAATAAGAAGAAAGAAAAAAAATCTGATTCTAGAAAACATCTTATTGTATTATCAGGAAGCTCAACTTTACCCACCAAATATAGATGAAAGAGAATTCAGCCTACTATAGCATTCAATTCATACTAAGAGACTAAGTGGATGAATGACATTAGAACTTGGAAAGAGCTGTGCTATATTATAACACAGGTATTTCCAGGTGCCTGCCGCTCTTCACTAGTTGTAATCAAACAAAAATGACAGCGGTTCCCCCAGAACAGGGACTGCCTCACTTCCACCTAAGGAACCCTCACTCAATATATGGTGAAAAGAAAACAGGAAAACTTCACAAGGATGGCTGTGTTTGAGGCTTATGTATACTTTACCAACCTCCACATAGCCTTATACCAAGCAACAGCAATACCAAGAGGAGAAAATGGGATGATAAATTTACTAACCAAGTCTACGTGTGAATTGGGATATCTAAATTCACTGTATGTTGTACGCTTAGATCTCAAACTCTTTGTGAAAAAGGCAGAGTATTAATGAATAAATACTATCTTGCATGCTAGAAAAGAACAGGGGTCTTGGATCCCAAGTGATGACTTTGAAAGGTTGGAGCTGGGGCAAGGAAAGGAATCCCATATTGTGTCACTGGGAAACAAAATTTTGCTGATCACCAAAAGGGTAGAGACACAGAAGGCAAACACATGGATTGATTATAAAACATTTTATGATAGTAGGCAGCACTTCGGGTTTGCTCAGCAGGAACTACAGGCTGAGGTACCCAGTATAATCAAAACATGGTCAAGATCACTGATGAAGAATGAATAAATCCCAGGGTCCGATCTCTTGAAATCAGTTAAAATTTTGGGCAGAAAATGTTCAGTGTTAGAATGTTTAGTGGTAGGTTCTGGTCCTATTTGATGATCCAGTGCAGTAGGCTGAAGACTGAAGAGCAATGAAAATTCCATATCTACAGAGGGAGAGGAACCAAATACCAGGGCTGTAATTTCCCATAAACCCACAAGCCCGCTGACTCTGAGTAGGCTGTGTCCTGTACCTTCAAGGAGAGATCCTTGGAGTTATGACTATTTTTGGTACCTGCCCATTGCCAGGCCCATCTTAGGAGGGCTTTCTGTGCCCTTTTAAGGAATATTTACTTAGGGTGAGCTGTTTCGGATCTTGTACTTTACTGAATACAGAATGGATAGGTGAAAGGAGGTTTATCCTCCTTTTTCCACCTTCCATTCATCTATCACTATACTTCTTAGTATGTATTAGCTTTCAATTCTGTTCCTGACATAGTCCAAAACGGGTTCATCTTTGTGGTGATAATCCAAACAGTCTGCCGACAAAGTCCTAGCAATGGTTCATAAACTTAAAAGGTTCTGAGGGTTACCTATCTTTAATTTGGGGCCTTGGTGGGCATTTAGTTTCCAAAATAATCCTGGTATATAACCGACTGGAGTTAAGTAGAGATGCAGTATATTCCACTGAGCAACATATAATGGCTACCGTGTTGCTTTAACACTATTGTTTTTCATAAAAGTAATAGTCCAACAAAGTTCATATAAAAATCCAGCTGTCATATAAGAGCAAAGAGTAACATTAAAATGGAAAAAGTTCCCCCCAGATGATAGTGATACACAGGACTGAGAAGAATCACTGGAGAAGCATTTTTGCAATCCTAGGTCAACAGCATTAATGAGCTCAGTAACATCTTAAATTAAGAGATATCTTTAAAAATATACATAACCTTGATTATGAAGAATATCATCAATTATAGTAGGAACCCGCACATCTGGTACCACTTCTCCCTTAGAATGACATGGCTGTAGAGCACCTGATTCAATGTTTGGAGTCACGATAGCGTAACGAAGCAGTTCTTCATACTCTTCCTATGAGAAGCCAAGGACAAAGAATGTATTACAACAGTCACAATGGGTATTCAGGCAAGGAACAATAAGGCCCAATTAAAAATGTTCTCTACTTCACTTCTCAAAATAGTATTCCCATGTCATAAGGAATGTGTACTTTCTTAAAAACAGGACAAATCCAACAAGTAAACCTACCCAGATTGCTTCCAGTGATAGGACCTTAGTACACAGATTCCTTCAGTATGTCAATTTAGCAACGGTGACACAAAGTTAACCTAAAGTAGGTGCCCGAAGCCAATCAGCAGCTCCAAGGCAGAAGAGCCCTCCCTCCAAGGCAGCTCCTTGCAGGTGGGCAGAGACACGGTTAGCCACTTGTCTGCTTTTCGGAAACCTAGTTTGAAGATGTTGCTCCCAAAGACTCCACAATAGGACAGTCTAGGGATGAAAAGGAGTTGGATCGTGGCTTTCCGACAGCCACGATCCAAAAACAGCCACTCAGCAACATCCCTGAGTCTCTTTTCACAGCATGGAAAGAGTATAAGGGAGATATTGGAAGAGAACAAATACTGAAGATAAAAAGAGAACATGAATGCAAACCTGTTCCATTCTAGCTGCTGACACCTTCATGGCGCATGAGAAAAGAGCGATAAAAACCAGAGGAGACAAAGTGTAGACCTTATGCGAATATTCCTTAGGTTTAAAAAAAATTAGAATTTCCTAACATAGATATTTAGCTATTTCTTTAGCCAAATCAAAAAAGGATACCTGTGAAGTAAAAAATATAGTGGAACTTAGTCTCTATTCACAAGGGAATGGTCATAATGTAACAAATATTCCTACTAAAAGGAGTCATTTCTAAGAGTCTTATGCACAGACCCAGAGAATATCTTTGTATTATAAAACTGGGGGGAAGGTTTTCAAGAATGTTAAATGTTATTATTATAAAGGATTATTTTGTATTAATTTTTCTCTGTAAGAAGTTGTTTAGCTCAGATAGAGAACTATCATCTTATTAGTCATAACTGTTTTATTATTTGGATTCACCTTCAGTTTGAAGATAACCAATGGTCAAAGCTACCTCTTTGAAGGGTCCTAGTCAATACCTGCTGAAGTGAATTAAGTGAATTCTGTCTAGTATTATATATATATAAATTATATGTCATATATATTATATATATATAAAATATTTTATTTATTTATTTGACACAGAGAGAGAGAGAGAGAGATCACAAGTAGGCAGAGAAGCACGCAGAGAGGGAGGGGGAAGCAGGCTCCTGCTGAGCAGAAAGCCCTATGTGGGGCTCAATCCCAGGACCCCGAGATCATGACTTGAGCTGAAGGCAGAGGCTTAACCCACTGAGCCACCCAGGTGCCCCTGTCTAGTATTATATTTAATAAAATCATTATGATATGATATAGGTATTCAAAAATTAGCAATCTTTACTTTTTCCCTTTGGTTTTCTATGAGTAAGAGTATTTAACTGCCCACCACACTCAAGTTTCGAGCCATGGTTGTATCACAGTTAACAAATTAAGTGTCTTGGTGTTTCCCAAAGGAACAAATGTAACTGCACTCAGAGTTCTGTAGTTGGAACTACCTTGAATACTGCATCAGTAGGCGATATCAATGCATTTCAAACTAGCTTCCAAGGAGGTGTTTCAAGGGATCCACAATGTTTTCTTCAAATTTCATTTTTAAGCTATTTAGCTCTTTTAGAAACAGTAATAAAAGGAGCATGCGCTAACAGATATACCATAAATGCTAAATTTTAACAGGCCCCAAAGTATAAATTCTTAAATTTTTGTGTTGGTTAAAGCTGCTTCTCCCATTGATGTACATGTCAAGGTCTTGTCAACGTGTCACCAATTAGAATGACTGTAACTCTGCACAAGTTTATTTTTTGTTTTGAATTCACATCTATATATCTATGTTCATGTAACTTGTACAGAGGAATGGACAACTGTAACACATGTGGCCACAACAATTTCGAACCACTCAAACTCAAGCACATCTGATGGCTCCTGTCCCTCCTTACATGAGTATTGAGCTAGCAGTGCAGTAGTAAATGACTTCAGACCATGTTACATGCTTATCATAATACAAAGAGTTTCAGCACTTATTCCAAGTTTTAGTCTTCTGGGTGCTTCTTCTGTGATTTTTTAATTTATTATATAAAGTTTGAAGAAGCGACAGATTTTGTTGGTGATTGAACACTGAATCAAAAATTTTCTATCAATCCTTTTTTATACTTTGGATCAGTTTATTTGAAGATGAGATAAGCTTTTAAAAAGCTACCAATTTTTCATAATGCATACAGAAACTGAATCACTATGTTATACACCTGAAACTAACATAACACTGTGTGTCAACTATACTAAAAAAAAAACCAAAACAAAACAAAAAAGCTACCGTTTTCAACTACTTATGTTAAAAATTAGAATTTTCTTGAAACAAGATGGGACTTGGGAGGGAGACAAACTGTAAGAGACTCTTAATCTCAGGAATCAAACTGAGGGTTGCTGGAGGGGATGGGGGTAGGAAGGATGGAATGGCTGGGTCATGGACACTGGGGAGGGTATGTGCTATGGTGAGTGCTGTGAATTGTGTAAGACTGATGATTCACAGACCTGTACCCCTGAAGCAAAAACTATATTAATATATATTATATATGAATATACAAATACGTGTGTATGTATATATATATATATGTATATATATATACACACATATACATGTGTATATGTTAATAAAAAAATCTAAAAAAAAAAAAAAGAACTAGAATTTTCTTGATATCACATATCCCAAATAACATATAGAAGCAAAAAGGTCACTTAAGTCATCAAACTATGCTGGTCTTCTGTTATCCATTAACATCAAATGTGCATTCATAAAAGCAGCTTCATTGTTTTTCCTGAGTCTGTGAGAAGTAAATGTCACAAGTTTGCATTTATAACATAAATCTATACAATTATATTTCTGCTTTAGCCTTTTCCTACTGAAATTTGAAGTAAAATTGTTTTGTAAAGACGGTTTATGCTGGCAGATGTTTGAAAGTTTCAAGTCTTTAGGGTAATTAAATGTAAAGAAGTGACCTGGTTTCAGTTTCAGTCTTGATTTGCATATTTAACATAGATTACTTATAAAAAGTAAATGTTAAGTCATAGCAAACACAGCTCTTTACATGTCATGGCTAAGGGCAGAAGAGAAACAGATACTCTAAAGGGAGAATCATTAGAAAGAAAATTCAATCATCAGAATTTGGGGTGTGGTTTAAACTCTGCATGGGGCCCCCCCACTCAGCAGAGGACTTGCTTGAGATTCTCTCTCCCTCTCCTGCTACCCCCCAAAATAAATAAATAAATCTTCAAAAATAATCCCCCCTTCATATTGCCATTGTCAACTCCTTTGTTAGAGATGTCCCCTTCATAATAATAAACACATGTCTTAATTTTAAATTTACATTTCATGACAGAAAATAAAAGTCAGTATTTCACATGATCATATCACCAAGGCCGGGGGCTCTTAATAGAGAAAAAGCAATTTAGACCATCAGAGATACATTTAATTTTTATCTTGACAAAAATAACTATAATTCTTAAAATAGATTTAAATATTCTTTTTTTAAATTAAATTTATTTACTTGTCAGAGAGAGCATGCTTACATTAAGCAGTGGGAGCAGCAGGCAGAGGGAGAAGCAGGCTCCCCACTGAGCAAGGGGCCCAAGACAGAACTTGATCCCAGGACTAAGGGACCATGACCCGAGCCAAAGGCAGACACTTAACCCACTGAGCTACCCCAGCATCCCATAGATTTAAATATTCTTATCACTTATCACTGAGGCAGGAGGCTCTTATTAGAGAAAAAGTGATTTAGACTATTACAGATACATTTAATTTTCATGTTGACAAAAATAACTATAATTCTTTAAATAGATTTAAATATTCTTAAATTTTAAATATTCTTAAATCTTAAATTCTTAAATTTAAGATTCTGAAATCTTAAATCACATCAGTTTCCCAGTTATTACAATAAAAGGAAATACCCAAACAGTTTGATAAACTGAAGCCATACACAAGAAAATCTACTGGTTTCTATAAACCTGAGTCAGTCCTAACAAAACACATAAAATTTCAAGTTCAGTAACTCTCTGCCACAGAGAAGTATAACAGTCCAGCAGCAGCTGTTTTCCTTTTATTCCTTTAAGTTACTAAAACCTCAGGGTCTGACCAGGGAAAGGCCACCCAGCAACATTTCTCAACCTCCCCTTCAGCAGGTATCAAGAGACCTGGTCTATGAGGTCCAGGTAGAAATGATGTGTACAACTTCAGGTCATGTCCTTAGAAAGGAAGCTGCTTGCTTCCTTCTCGTGGGTTAGAGGTGGTGGTGAGCTAGGCACCCAATGATACAAACCTCTTCAACACCCTAGGGCATGGCAGAGCAACACAAGAAAGAGACTGGGTCCTGGGGTGACCTCAGGACTCTCTATCAGCTCTGACTTACATGAGTCTATGTATCAGCTCAGGCTTTTAAGCAATTCACTTAAGCAAATCTTATTTGGTTCCTGTTAAAGTGGACAAAATAACACACTATTATACTTCCCAAAGAGCCGAAATAAACTTTTGATTTTGGCTGAGAACATATAAAAATGTGGCTGTTATAGACCGAACGTCTATGTCCTCCCCAAATTCATATATTGAAACCTGACTCCCCAGAGCAGCTATATTTGGAGATGGGGAAGCTAAAGTAATTAAGGTTACATAAGGTCCCAAGAGTGGGGCTGATATGTTAGGATTAGTGTCCTTCTAAGAAGAGAAGACAGAGAGTTCTCTCTCAGCCCATGCACGTGCACTTAGGAAAGGCCATGTTGAGGACTCAATGAGAAGGCAGCTCTCCGTAGGCGAAGAAGAGAGCCCACCAGAAACGGACCCTGCCAGACCTAGCTTTGGTACATTCAGCATTCAGAACTACAAGAAAATAAATTTCTGTTGTTTTAGCCACCCAGTCTGTGGTGTTTTGTTGTGACAGCCCAAGCAAACTAATATAGTGACTATCCTGTATTTGTATTTTGAGGTCAATTAACTTTTTATTTTATTAGTAAATGTATTATTTTTTATTAAAGTATATCAATACCTAGAAACAATAAAGGGTACTTGAGGTTAATATTTTTTTAATGTTTTGCTAACTTTGTACTTTATTATAGATTTGTGATTACATATAATTTGAGTTGAAAACCGAGGAAGTATTTAAATTTTTGGAGAACTGAAGACATACTTTTCTTAGTTTCTTTTGGGCAAAATTTAGACCATTATACTAACTCAAAGACAAAGATTTCAGGGAAAATGGAGTATGGTATTTAAAATTACTGCTGTAGGAACGCCTGGGTGGCTCAGTGGGTTGGAGCCACTGCCTTCGGCTCGGGTCATGATCTCAGGGTCCTGGATCAAGCCCTGCATCGGGATCTCTGCTCAGTGGTGAGCCTGCTTCCTCCTCTCTCTCTGCCTGCCTCTCTGTTTACTTGTGATCTCTGTCAAATAAATAAATAAAATCTTAAAAATAAATAAATAAATAAAATTATTACTGTAGTTTTACTTTTGCATCCCTTCTTCCCTTTTGAACCTGGTTGAAATGTATGAGGTCAATTAACTTTTTAATTGGGGGCAATTATCACTAGATTTAGCCAATTCAGCTTTGCTCAATCAGAGTTATTTTATTACAACTTCCTGCCTGATATATCAGTTCTATGTACATAATTAAAGGTATTTAAACAACTATTTTTGTTTCATTTATGTAGATATGGGGCAAATGGGCTATTTTTTTTTTTTTAAAGATTTTATTTATTTACTTCACCTCCCCCAATCTCAGACACCAGTAGCAAGCCTAAGCCTCCTGGAGCTCAGGGTGGGTAGGTCTAAAAGTTCCAATTCTCTAAACATGTGGTTGGCTCCTCAGCAACCAGCCTCTATTCTCAGGTGGGGTCCAAAAGTCACCTTGTAGTGTAACACATTTATCACTCTCATTATTTAAGAAATTTCAAAGGTTTTTGACACTGTGTGCAAAAAATAGGGATGAAGACCAAAATGTATTTATTATAAATTGCAATATCAAAAGTATAAATGAGTTAATCAGTTCTGTTCTAAAGGAAGTCTGGAAAATAGAGATAAAAACTTCAGGAAAGCACTGTTACCTTAAAAGACAGCACTAGGTAGAAATACATCCAAACGGAAGGCAAGGATGAAACATGTACATAACAATTCCAGACTACTTTTACCCTAATAAAAAGTCACAGCTATTTTTTCAATAGCTTCCCAATTTCTAAATCTGTAATTTCAATTAAAGGAACACATATGTTTCATAAAATATCTTCTTAAAACTTTTCTCATATTACAGTGTCAAAAACAACTTACTCTATTGAAGCATAAACATAACATCCAGTTTTCCCCTTGCAACTGATATAACTATAAAATTCAAGCTATGTATCAGGCTCTCACACTTAAAAATCTACTCTAGAAATCTGAATCCACATTTCCAATAATAAACATTTAGAAATAAATGTAAAAGAGTTCATTAAAAAACCACACCATTTATCTGTCACCATCCAGGTCCCGCGCAGCAGAATGTGCTGAACGTTGTAGCAACAGGGATTAGAACCTTGAATAGAACACGAGGAAATCTAGGTCCCCAGAACTCTGGGTGGTTTGATATTATACTAATTTGCATTAAAGTGAAGTCATTCAGAAGAGAGACCTATAATGAGAAAACCTTCAGAAAAAAGTTTCTTGAGATTTCCAGCTTCTCTCATTGTGCTGTTTGAATCTTTTGCATGAAAAGTGAAGCGTTCATGACTATTTTCTGAAAGGTTCAAACAATGTAAGGTATGTGTGTCCCACAGTCTGTGAATTCTTGACATCTGATATTATTATAATTTGATATACACTATATATAAAACATAATTATAAATGTAAATGGCATGAATAAGGGAAAATGTATTCCGAGTTTTCCCTCATATTGTCCCTTGTTTAAAATAGATAAGTCACGACAAATTTAGACATGTCTTCCTACCTGAAGATCTGAAGAGACAGAACTGCCCTGCTCAGAGTCATTCTGTATAACGGGAAGTGAGCCTTTCTCCTCATCTGATGACATTCTACACGAACACTACAACATAATAGAAAATCACTTGATATTTAAACTAAAATAACATGTTCTCTACATATACACACATCCTATCCTGTAAATAATAATCCCGTGAAATGTTAAAATCACTCACCATATTGAGCACCCACAAATAACTAATTAAAAAAAAAAGTAAAAGACTCAATTCCCAACAGCAGTGAGTTTTTAATATAGTCAAGAAGATGACACAAATCTATGAAAGGTTAAAGAGAAATGGGAGCTTGTCAGACACATCCACAGTGGGGTCTGTTGAGAACAGACCACGATCATTGTACTTTTTTTTTTTAAGATTTTATTATGTATTTGAGAGGGAGAGTGAACAAGAGAGAGCACATGAGGTGGGGCGGGGGGGAGCAGAAGGAGAAGCAAGAGCTTTGTGACTCCCTGCAGAGCAGGGAGCTGGATGCAGGGCTTGATCCTGGGACCCTGGGATCATGACCTGAGCTGAAGGCAGATGCTTAACCAACTGAGCCACCCACAGCGTCCCATGATCAGCGTTCTTGAGCAATGTATGGCAATCTGTGTGCTGTATGTTTTCCTGTAAGATAATCGTGCAAATGCTTTGTGCAAATGCTTTTGTGCAAATGCTTTGCTTGAGAAACTTAACATTTGGGGATATTTTAAGAAAAGCAAGACTGTACAGAACAATAGATTCCTACATGCCACAGAAAAATTGTTAAAAGCCTTAACCAAAAAAATAAAATTTCTAGTAAATAAATTATCGTTTGCATTTTTAGTAAACAAATTATTTAAAGGACATACTTGTCCTTTGAGGCAGCTGGGAGGCTCAGTTGGTTGCGTGTCTGAATTTTGATTTGGGGTCAGGTCATGATCTTGGGGTCCTGGGACTGAGACCCATGTTGGGCTCTGGGCTCAGCATGGAGTCTCCTTGGAATTCTCTCTCCCTCTTTTCCCCTCTTCTCCCCCTGCTCGTTTGGGTTCTCTCTCTCTCTAAAATAAATAAATAAATCTTTTAAAAAAAACCATAAAGGACAAGTAGTGACTATTCAAACTATCTGAACACAGCTATACGGAAGACAATGGTGAGGAATGTAAGATGAAAAGTCCTGTCCTCGTGGATTATAATCTGTAGAGACAGCCAGACATACATAAAATATAAATGACTAGGGGCGCCTGGGTGGCTCAGTGGGTTAAGCCTCTACCTTCGGCTCAGGTCATGATCCCAGGGGCCTGGGATCGAGTCCCACATCGGGCTCTCTGCTCAGCAGGGAGCCTGCTTCTCCTCATCTCTCTCTGTCTGTCTCTCTGCCTACTTGTGATCTCTCTCTCTGTCAAATAAATAAATAAAGTCTTTAAAAAATATATATAAATGACTAACTCCCCCCCCCAAAAAAAAAGCTAGTACACCTTAAAACAACAGAGGTACAAAGTAGGGAGGAAAGAGTAGCTATTTTTCATGGGGTGGGATCATGAGGGTGAAGAAGTGGAACGGAACCAGAGTAGGTTTTCACGGAAAAGATGAACCAGGTATTGAGATCTAACAGACAAAAGCTGTGAGGATGTGCTAGGCATTCGAGCAGCAGAAGCAGACAGAGGCAGGGGGTGTATGCCAGGAACATAAGTGGTTTGTAAGGCTGAAGCGCAGAGTGCAGAGCAAGGCTTGGCAAAGGATTGAATAGGCAAGGAAAGGGGCAGCCAGAACATGGAAGATCATGATCATGCCAGGTCAGAAAAATGTGTTTTTTACCTTAGAGAGGTTACTGCAATGTTTTAAACAAGTGATGACATGATTAGGCTTGTATTGTAATGTTGGCAGCTTCCAGATTTCTGGCTTGGTAATCAGACAGATAATAGTGCCACTCTCCAAGGCAAGAAATGTAGGAAGGTAAGCAGGTTGGGCAGGGGGAGGACAATGGGTTCAGTATCAGAGCAGTTGGGTGTGAGGCATCTGAGACAGGAAGTGAAGCTTTAGATATGCAGGATATGGCCACAACCATTACACTATACACCAAAGACTGCCATTTACAAGGGCTACAATGTGAATGGTGCTTTCTGGAGTTAAGCAGTGAGGGAGCTCTTCCCTGGAGGTATAGGCTAGAGATAAAGTTTGAAGAATCATCAGCATAACGGGAAATACTGAACATGGGAAAGGATAAGATCACGTATGAAAAGGAGTGTCAGAAAGAGTTCTCATTCTGAGGTCCATACACCCAAATTATATGCAATATTTTTAGAATAAATGCCTATGTATATTTTTCTAGTAAGAGGATACTTAGCTTTTTTAAAAAAAATATTTATTTGTCAGAGAGAGAGAGAAATGGAAAGCACAAGCAGGGGAAGCAGCAAATAGAGAGAGAAGCAGGATTCCCACTGAGCAAGGAGCCTGATGTGGCACTTGATCCCAGGACTCTGGGATCATGACCTGAGCCAAAGGCAGCCGCTTAACTGACCGAGCCACCCAGGTATCCTGAGGATACTTAGCTTCTAATATGTGTTCAGAGGGGTCTATAACCCTAACAAAGTTAAAGGCCTACTACAGTAGTGGAAGGAGATTAAAAACTAGAAACACTAACATTTAGTGTTTCTAATTTAGCTCTTCTAAAAGAAGTGCCAGCAAGGACAGAAAAGGAAGTCAGAGTGGTAGAATTATCAGAAAGAAAAGCATCATAAAAACTTGGGGAAGGGAATGCTTAGTCAGATGCCAAAGAAAGATGAAAACTGGGGTCTCCTGAATACGGCAGTAAGGAAGTTGCAGACATTTACCTGAACAATTTCAGTGGAAGGTGAAACAGGTCTCAATCACAGCGGCCTGAAAATAAATGAAATAAGAAAATTCAAGTAGAAAAGTCAGATACAGGGAAAAGTACAATATTAGAAAGGAAACAGGTTGGGATTTGTTCATGGAAACTTAGCTTTATTCATTAAGTATTACTGTGTACACGCCTGGTAAGTAAACTGGCAGCATGGCTGTCTTTAGTTAAGCCAATTAGGGAGGATAAAATAAGCACACACATGCCCAGCAAGGAAGGGCTGCTTCATGGACGTCAAATCCACCACCCTGGTAACCTGGTTAATTTCTATATTCACTCACTTCTTTCAGGATGTATTCGCATGCCCTATAGACAGCAGGAGTGGAGGTGGGCCGGTGCTGATTATTCAATAAAGAAATAAGTTGAAAGGTTGGGTCAGAATTCAAAAAGTGTCTCTGAATAGGCACTGCAGCCACAAAACAACTACTGTATTTTTGGAAAATAGGACATTAAGCCTTCCATCCGCCCTGCTTTGATGCCAGCAAGGTACGACAGTTTCTTTGAAACTCTACAACCGCAGCATTTTCTTACTGTTTCTAGGTTCAGAAAGGAGAAAAATGAAGCTTGCTTTAATGGGTGGCAGATGTGAATCAGTTCACTAAATTTCCAGTATTTTCTAACCCAAGATACCAGAAACCAGGAGATAAGAAGTTCTGGGTACTTCTCGATTGCCAGAGAAATCAAAGTACGTCTTGGTAAATACCTGGCTGCTAAGGAAAGAGGGGTCCGGGAATTCAAATGTAACCCCAAGAGACAGGAAGAGTGAATTAAAGTGCAAGCTGGCAGCAGGGTGACGTCCCCGCGCTCTTCACCCATCTTAGCTGCAGGAAGGAGAGGGGATGCGCCAACTCTGCCCCCCGTAAGGGACTAGAAGCAGAGGACACCAGGTGTGAAGTTCTGGAAGGGCTGGGAGTTCTCTTCGATCACCTTCTTTCCCACCGTGGTTTGAATCACACTCTTATAAAAACGTTAGCCATGGTTACTTTACCCCTTACGTTTTAAATGACCGGAACCTATGGCGATAGGAACCGCTATACTTCAAGTACCCCTCACTCCTGTCCTCTGTTCCCGGACCCTCGGAGGAAAAACGTCTGCACCTTGTGACCCGCAGAAGAGCATATAGCCCACGTCTCGGGGAAGACGCCACCGGCTCCGTACTGAGTCCCGGGAACGGAAACCCGAGCCGAGGCACTTTCAACCCCACTCCACTCCCTCCGTGGGGGCGCCGCTACCCACCGTCGCGGGTCTCCACAAACCCAGACGCCTGCCTCCCCTTCTCCTCGCCGCGTCGTAGCCGAAACAACAGCGGTAAAGCGGATCCCTTGGCAGCGACCTGACAGTTTCAAACTGCAGAGAGGAATAAAAGACGGCCCTGTGCATTGGCCCCGAACTTCAGCAACCTGGGATTTGATTGGTCCCAGACTCGGGGGCGGGGCTCTGGACCGCTACGGGGAGACGCCGGCATTAGGTTACTTAGGGAGAGCCGTGCTCCCGGCGCAGGCGTGTAACGAGGGGGCGGGGCCTCAGGGAGCCCCGCCCAGCTTCTGAGAGCTAAGTACTGAGCGCGTGCTCAGTTTCCGACTGCGACTGTGGCTGCGACTGAGGCGGCTGTGGGAGTGGATTTGGTTAGAGGATGGCAAGCTGGGCTCTATTCAGCCAGGGCGGTATGTTGTCAACTTTCGATAGTACCCGAGGCCAGTGTGTGTGGTCCTCGTGCATAAGAATCATCTGCGTCCATAATGTCCTGCAACAGAATCACCTGGAGGTGCTTTTTCTGACTCCCACCCCTCTCCTTGATTCCTTCCGTCTTAGAGCCAGGGAATCTGAATTTTTAACAAAGACTACCATTGATTTCGATGCAGGGTTCAGCGGACCACGATTTAAGAAACTGCTGGACTAGGTTTTACTAATAACTTCAAGGTGTCAAATTGCCAAGTCGGGCCCTTCTGGCGAAGTGATTATGAACCCTGTAATAATCAGGTCATAATTACATCCTGGCTCTCTCGCCTATTCAGTCACCTTGGATAATGCTACCCACATAATAGGGCTGTAGGAAGATTAAATGAGTAAATATAGCTAAAATACCTACCACACAATATCAGAACTACTAGTCTTTCAATTTGTATTGGCAACAGATGTGGTTAAAGGTATCTTAGGATCCAGGATGCAAAGGACGCGCCTCAATCTGGAGATCAAATAATGAGATCTGGGTGAGTTTTCAGACTCCCTTTGTTACCCGGAGGGTGAGGTATCTGGATTTTTTTTTTTTTATTTGTTTGTTTCTGTAGATAAAAATGGCAAAACCTGGGTCTCATCTTCCTACCTGTTGGTAGAACCAGACTTCTACTTGTACGAACAATGAGGAAGAGCGGGCAGTTTCTCTGGCACAAGCTATGCTTGTATTCCTCTGCCCAGTCCCCTCTATCCCATGGTTATTATAAACAGAACACATTCCTACTAATGCGTACGAATTCATAACTGGTTGAGATTGGTGTTTTTTAATTGAATTGCCACCTGGTGATTGCATACACTGTGATCATTACGGATGCACTTATCCTTTTGCTCCCGCCACTTTGGCTCCATGTTGCTCTTCTTCGTCTTCTCTCTCTTAGGGGATAGATTTTATAGAAAACCACTGGTTAAGACATCTCCATTCTTCTGTGAAGCTACAGAGAGAAAGAGACCAAACCTAATCTGGATGTTATGAATTTGAAACTGATTCTTTTCCTAAGCTTCTTAGAGAAGGGAGAGGAGGGAGTTGGAGAGAATCAAGCAACCTCAAACTCATAGTAATTAAGTTGCCAGCTTGAACCCTCCATAATTATTCATTCAAGAACATTTATTTAACATTCATCGTATGCAAAACGTTTTGTTGGTGCTAGGAATACAGTGGTCAACAAAATAGACACAGTCTGCCCTCATGGAACTGGGAACCCACACATGTGAATAAAAAATTATGAATTATGTTTGAAGAGAGGGGAAATCAAGAAATGGCTGTCTGAGAACGTACATTTAAGCTGAGACCTGAGGATGAACGAGTAAAGAACTTATTTTATCTAATAAACACACATGTGTTAATATGTTCTGGGCACTCATTTACTCATTTAATCCTCACATTATCTCTATAATGTAGATGTTATACCTATCCTTGTTTTACAAATATGAAAACTGAAGTTCAGAGAATTTATGTGACTTGCCTAGGATCACACAGCCAATAAGAACAGAACTGGTGTTCCAATCAAGGTAGTCCAGACTCTAAAGTCCATATTTTTATCACTCAGTATGTTCTGTTGAGAACAACCTGGCAGTTATGGATTGAATGGTGTCCTCCAAAAAAGATATTCAAGTCCTAACCCCTAGTATTTGTGAATATGATCTTACTTGGAAATACGGTCTCTGCAAATGTAATCAAGTTAAAATGAGGTTGTTCTGGATTGGGGTAGGGGCTAGTGTCCAAAAGCTAGTGTCTTTATAGGAGAAAGAGATACATGGAAGAAGATGGAGGTGCTACTGAGAATCAGTTGGAAAAGAAAGTTCAGTTCTGTTTTATTTAATTAATTAATTAATTAATTTATTTATTTATTATACAAAAAACTTGTATGTATGTATTTATTTATTTATTTATTTTATTTATTTTTTTATTTATTTATTTGAAAGAGAGAAAGGGAGAACACAAGCAGGGGGAGCAGCAGAGGCAGAGGAAGAAGCAGGCTCCCCTCTGAGCAGGGGATCATGACCTGAGCTGAAGGCAGACACTTAACCAACTGAACCATGGCGCTCAAGAAAAGTTCAATTTCAAATATGCCTGAAATGCCTAGAGATATGCAAGAGCACTGTCCATTAGGCCATTTGAGATACATGTCTAGAGCTCAGAAGAGATCAGGACTCAGAGAAATAAACTGGGGTGGCTTTGCATATAGATCTGTAGAGGACTTCAGAATGACTCTACTTCTTCATCTCTCCCATATCAATGTCCTTTACCATGCCCTCTCACTAATGGCCATTGGGATGTTAACAAACATGATGGAAGCCGAGGCTTTGAAGACACTTGTGTGATTGGCTTGGCTTTACTCTTGCCCTCTTTTATGATCATGGGAACATCCCTAGACTAGTCAGTTGGAGATGAAAGACAAGTGTATTAGACTTGATGGGCCTGGTCATCCCAGTGGAGGCCTTCCAAGATCAGTCTATAGCCAGGGGACACCCAGACAGTACTTAAGTGCAGTCAAAGATGGCAGGACCACCAGGCCAGTTTGCAGGGTGTTGAGCTCAATGAACATTGACTGTTGAAAGGCACTGTGTTTTGGGTGGTGTGTTATGTAGATTTACCCTGTAAGAGATAATGCATAAGATGCAATTTAAAGTTGAGGACCTAGATGAGAGAGCCTTGGGGATGGGGCAGGGAATGGGGAGAGGAAGGTGAACAGAAAAGAGGGTTCAGAATGGAACCCTGGAGTCAGCTAATGTTTAGGAATTGATATCAGTGGAGGAGAAGCAAAGGAGACCAAGAAGGAGGGGCCAGAGAAGTGGGAGGAGAACCTGGGGAGGCTTCAGTAAAATGGCAGTGAAGTGACTGATGAGTTTGACAATATGGAGGCGTTTCCAAAGGCCCTAAACTCTGAACTGCTACTCTAATAATCTTTCATCTTTTAATCACCACCGTTTTAGATTCGGCCATTGTTGAGTTTGGCTTGCATTGTTTCTATAGTTGTGTGTCTTTGGATCTTCTTTCTACAATTTACCCTTCACAATAGTGACAAATTATCTTCTTAAAAGAACATTGCATCGTATGTCTTCTTCCTCTAAAATCTTCCATGGTGTTATATGGCTTTTGAAGCCCTCCTAAACTTGGAAGATCTAGGCTGGAGTCTTTAAATTGTTCGTGTAAGAGGTGTACAACTTTAGGGGAGCTTTATATCTTTTATGAGCCTAAGCCTTGTTTTTTTAAAGTTGAGAAAATAATAGAACCTCTCAAAACTAAATCTGAACCTGAACCTGAACCTGAATCAACTATCTACCTACGAAAATTATTCCCTCTTGAAGCTGGGGAGATGGCCACCTGGTTAGATTACATGTGCCGGTCTTCTTTGCAGTTAAGTGAGGCAATAGAATATGTATGGAAGTGAAATGTACTACTCCCTGAACTGGTTTTTAAGACTTTAGGTATGTTTTTTTCTGAGCCTTCTGCTTCCCCACTGTGTTGAATGATCATGTGGAATAGAACTCCTTTGCCAGTTCTGTAATATTAAAAAAACATGTTTTTTCCCTTAAAGTCACTGTGTTTTGGGGTCAGTCTGTTACAGCCATCACTCTAATATCACTTCTAGGTGGGTATAGATGGATATATGATGCTGTTGAGAGGTAACATATGTGAGATTATTTAGAAATTTTTTTAAAGTGAGGCAAAAATCACATAAGGTTTGAATTCATAACCTTTTCCAAGAAGTCAGCAGGAAGCTTTTCTGGCTCTCATTACCTGTTGGGAACACTTAGTATTTGTGGTGGCAGGAGTTGAAATCCATGTCATTTTTGCTAGACCTGGCTTAGGAGACTGATTTGAAACTCGTTTCTTTTTCAGGTCATCCCTAATTCATCTAAAAGGGCTTCTGTCTCCTTACGCTATGATTTGTTTAGCTGGACATTCCTCAACCTGAGAATCTGTAACACTGATGACTTGTCCTAGGGTGGCAACTGTAATTTAGCCCATCACTGTGATTTTATGGAGAAAAAGAAATAAGTTCTAGAAAGAAATAGATTTGTTTTTCTTTAGTTGCAAATCTGGGCCCACTCCCTGGCCCTTTTATTGCAGAAGGGTGTTCATTTCTTAGTTTCCTCATCAGCCTTCTGTTCTTCCTAATTATTTAACGATTCATCCTGGACCCTCTCCATTAGCATCCTCTCGCCATGTAAAATCTTCCCTACCCTTAGGATTTCTTTTTCTGGGGTGAAACCATCTAGGTCCAACTGCAAGAGGCAGGATTAATTTGTTTTTCAGAGAACAAGGTTAGTGAGTCCCACTGATGTTTTGAGTGCTACACAGATGCTGTATTCTTGGGTCTTCAGGGGTTCTGAGATGGGTTTGCAAATCAGGGTAATTCAGCCCAGTGATAAGAATCTGTGCCATTGGAGTCTAAGAATGCACATGGAAAACCTACCAGAAGCCACTGCACTTATCAACAGATTTCATATGATTGTTCAGTAAAAGCTCTGCAGGTCTGCACAGGTCACCTCTCTTGGGATTCTGGGACTGAACCTCGGAGCCAGCCATGGTCCCCCTGCAATCTGGGGGTTACAGTTGCAGAAGCCCAGGAGGTGGGAGGTGGAAGGTGAGAGGTGGTGGGGTGGGGCGGGGGAGGGGCCCAGGAAG